AGACCTTCATGATCTAGAGAGAGAGGTACAGAGGTATAAGAGAGAGCCTCTAGATCAACAGGCCTATCAAGCGGGACTGAATAGTATTCACTCTAATGCGGTCTCAGAAGCCATTGAAGGATATAGAGTGAATACTGTGCTAGGAGACCATCCCCCTCCCGTCGCAGCTGAAGAACGAGAGCTGCCCCGACAAACCCGAGTAGTCTTGGCTCAATTACGATCCGGATGGTGCAGCCGCCTAAATTCCTACTGGGCCCGGATCAACGGCGAAGTGCAGAACATCTGCCCAGCATGTGGCACAGGCCCTCATGACACGCTGCACTTATTTCGCTGCCCAGCCAAGCCTACTCACCTAACTCCAGTCTCGTTATGGACTCAACCCAAACAGGTTGCATCCTTTTTGAGACTGGACTTAGAGGCAGAACCTGATTGAACTGAGTCAGAAAATGGAAACCGAACGAACACATATGTATGAGCTGCTACAACAACAACAAACTGAGACCTATCTTCCAAATATGAGGCCATTAAACGACACGCAGAAGATGAAAAACCAAACTTAAACCTCAGCTTGTCAAGTAAAAGGGAATGGTTGATCGAATCAAAAGCCTTTGACAAGTCAAGACCCAATAATAACCCAACATCAGATGAATTAAATACATCTCTAATCATGTCAGTAAGATATAATAAGTGCGTGGTCGTACTACGCACTTATTGCGTGGTCGTACATCGTCGCCGAAAACCAAACTGAGAACTACTCAATAGCCTACGATCATCAAGGAAGTCAACAATCGCTTCTTTAATAATATGCTCAACGACTTTTGACATAGCAGGTAGAATGCTAATGGGACGCAGATTCGACAAATCAAATGATTCACCAGTTTTCGGCACAGGAACAATTCGTGCAACCTTCCACGCCCGAGGAAAAGAAGATGTCATAAAAATCGAGTTAACAAAATGCAGGAAATGACAGGAAATGTATGGAAATATAAGTTTAAAAAACTTTACTGGCACACCATCAACCTCCACAGCTCCCGACTTACACAGCTCCCGACCTTACAACATCAGAATAAAATATGCAATAAAACCGAAAAACATCATCTCCCACTATGAAGAGACTGACCACGCTCACCCGCAAAACCAGGATTCCCACTGGAAAAATAATGATTAGCAGCATTGACATCAATTGGTGGAGCTTCATTACCACTACCCAAAACACCAAACGACTTTAGAGATTTACACAGCTGATTATTATTCATACGACCAAAGAAATCATTATAGTACTTACGTCTCTCTGATGAGGAATCACAGCCTTACAACGATTCCTATACATACAATATATTATTCTATTACCCTCCATAGGTCGCTTGCGCCACTCAAAGTACGCAAGATCTCTAAACATCCGTGCCGATTTCACCACATCAGATTCCAACCATGCATCATTCCTGGGGTTGACCTTACGAACAGAAACAGGAACGAAAGACAATAGCGCGTTAAACAACAAATCAAATAGTGAAAGTTGACAATTCACATCAGAATTGGAATATAAGGGGTTGAAGTCAAAATCGGATATGAAATTTAAAATGCCCAACCAATCCGCTCGGCCAAAGTTACGATACTCAATAAATCTCTCCTCTGAAAATACAGGCAGGTTAAGCAAACCAAAAACAAAGGCATGGTGTGATATACCAGGACATCGACCCTGAGACGAGAAACCCAAGGACAAATTATCACTAGTAAGGCAAAAATCAATTAACGAGGTAGAGTTATGGGCCAAATCATAATGGGTAGGTTTCATGTTATGCACAATAGTTAGCCCCAATGATCTGCATAATCCTCTCATCAAAACAGAGTTCGAAGACACAAATAAATTACAGTTAAAATCACCAAGGACAATGATATTAGAGAAGCGATCAAACAAACTCTCATGTACATCACAGAAAGACTGAACATCGCCATGGGGAAGATATACTACCGCCACAAGCAAAACCAATGCCCCAATATTCAACTCAACACACACCGACTCACAAACACCAAAATTATTTGAACGAAAAACTACCTTTGAACGAAAAACTAACTTAAAATTTGTCTAATAGCATGTTTCCATTGGAAACCGAACAACGTTGTTCGCTCTCAGAATTAGGTACAGGAATTAACCCGTTCATACGGCACGATTCGTAATTCATAGTAAAATAATTCCTTTTTTCAAAAATTTTGTTTGTTGATTTTAATGGGAATTTATACGAAAATACATGAAATTCTCACTAATATGAATAGAAGAAATTATTGTTTTCCTCCCAAAGATTTATTATATCATTAATTTTACAATTTTCATTCACGATTTCAACTTTTTGTGTAAATGTTGACATTTTGAACACATTTTTGTGTTTTTCCATTTTTAAATTCTGCTGGAGAGACACTTGTCAAACATTTTTTCTGCCGATAGAAACATTTTGAAAATGTTGCCTCTTTTGTTTGCGTTTTCTGTGGAAATTTTAACTCGTGGACAAAATGCGTACCTCGAATGAGAGAGAAAACAAAATTTACTTTCGTTTGAATGTACATACGCCATTCAACATTGTAGTTTTCATTCATAATTTTCAGTCTTCCCGAAAATTTTTAAAATTTCATCAAATTTTTCTATTTTTAATTTTTAAATGTCATAATTTATTTTTTCGATAAATGCTCTCATTTGTTAGGGATGGGACATATTTTTTCGTTATTCTGAGAGTGATTTGATTTGAACAACGTACAAATATGAGTGTTCGCTCAGGAAATTTTGTGTGAAGAATTAGGTAGTTTTTTCATAGTTAAGGGTCAAACAACGAATAGAGAGCGAATCAAGTGCAGTGGAAACGCCACATAAATCTTTTATTAAAATTGTAATTGGCTTTTGTAATCGGTTCATAGTCGTATCTCTCTGGCTTTCCAATGAAATTCTGGTTCAATGAAATTCTTGATCTTCAAATATAATTCATCTGAGTTTTAAAATAATTTGTTATAATAAATTATTGTTCTGTTCCAGTACCTACAAAAATATGCTATTTTTGCAATTGTCTTCGATATCCTAAAATCCCACATAAGTATTTTTTTCTTGAATGCTCGAATGTTGTCAGGAACTACAAAAATCTCCGATCCGATTGCAGGTACAAGTTAAACTCGTTTAACTAGTAAAAAGTCAACCAAATATGTTTATTTAAGTCTTTTTGATGTTCAATATATTCGAATCTCCCTTCTAAGTATATTGATATCATATACTGTGGTTTCACTGATCGGTATGAAGAAGATATTTATGAAATATAGGGTAAGATAAAAAAACTGCAACAAAGTCAATAGCCATAATTTTTTAATTTTTTTAACTTTTATTGAATGAAAGCAAAAAATGTCGAAAATAGCATCAAATTTTAGAATAAGTTTAGATTCGTTCGAATTGGTCCCCTTTGGCACGCATTATGGCCTTCAAACGGCCAATGAAACCGTCACACTCTGCTCGAATGTTGATTTGCGGTATTTTGGCCCATTCTCGGCGAAGCGCTTGCTTGAGTGCCAACCTTGCTTTCCAAAATACTCCAAAATCAATAGTCCAACGGATTGGTATCCGCAGATTTGGTGGGCATTGTGCGCGGGAAATGAAGCGAAGAACCTCTTTTCGTAACCATTCTTGGTTGGCGCGTTGTGAGTGCGATGGTGCTGAGTCCTGTTGGAATGTCCAAGGTCTGCGGCCAAAATGTTTGCGTGCCCAAGGCTTTAATACTAATAATATTTTCGCGATAATATTCGGCATTTATTCTGATGCCACGGTCGATAAATGCGAGCGGAGAGCGACCATCGGCTGTTATGGCGGCCCACACCATCAGCATGGCCGGTGCACATTTTCAGTTGACTTCTTTGGCAAGTAAACACGATCATTTTGTTTGTTTACAAACTGCTGGACATCGAATGTTTTCTCATCGGAGAAACCCGAATTCGTCAGTTCACCACGTTCGATCAAGCGAAGCAACTCTTTAGCTCTTTTGAGTCTGTTTTCTTTCTGTTGCGGTGTGAGTTCGTGCACTTTTTGAATTTCAATGGCTTTATCCCGAACACTTTTTTCAATATTTGCCGATCGGAAATATTGCAAAACGTTCAGCTCACGAGCCACTGTTTCGCGGTTTTTGATTAAGGCGATTCTTTACTTTTCGAACCATTTCTGCCGATGTTGCTGTTTCCCTCCGTCCACTTCCTTGACGTCGGGCTACGCTACTAGTATCACGGTAACGAGCGATCGTACGAGACACAAAAGATATATTCACATTTAAATGATGGAGTGCTCTAACGACAGCCACTTGTGGTTTTCCAGCCAAATATAAAGAAATCACACTATCACGCTTGAATTCCATCACGAATAACTTTTTTCTGGAAAATTCTCACCGAAATGCTTTTGTACGCTTGTAAACAATATAATGAGCTGTCACTGGAATAATTTTAACAGCTGTCGGACGAGTGGCTTAGGTATGACAGCAGTCTGAAGTTGGTTGCAGTTCTTTCATCTCACCCTGCATATGTTTACGGATACAGCTCTTCCATTCCAATCCCTTTAAAAAAAGGAACAATTGTTTTCTTGACTTTCTTATGAATAATATGGCGTGAGTGTTGTTGGTGGCAGTGTACTTGCAAATAAGCAGACATACATAGGGCATTCGAAACATGAGCTTTTTTGTAATGTTGGGAACAGGGTTTTAAAAATAAAGAGATAGTATTAGTTAAATTTTCGGAACATTAGTTAAAATTTCTGCAACCCAAAGTTTTTCTTTGGGAAATGTTTAGATTTTAATAGTTATATTTTGTAATGGTGAATGCTTTATGCTATATCAGTCCACTACTTCGCCATTTCGGTTATCAGATAAACACTGAATTTCTATATAAGATAGAAACAAATCCACACCTTTATTTCCGATTCATGTGAGTGTAGAATGGACAGTTGTCTTTGCATGTTGACTAAATAAAAAAAAATTACTATAGTATATCATGATATATAATATTTTTATTATGTATATTTTTAACTATATATGTGTGTGCATATATGTACGTTATCTTCGGTTATAAAACTTAAGCTTAACAGTGTTTATTGTCAAAAGTTATTTTGTACTGGCAAACGGTTAACAAACAAGTAATAAAGACAAAACACAACAAAGTGGTATTGAAAACACGGATATATTAAACAATTTGTTCAGCAAGTAATTTCACGTTGGGATTTTCAATGTCCACTTTACTCTGAATCAGTTTTAGTTCACGTTCAAAAGAGGTAACTTTCCGCTTACCCTCAAGAACTTCTAGAGGCATCGAATCTAAGGTCCGTTTTATAACGGCTTGCAGTGAGGCAATTGTACGTTCCAAAGCAGTAGATAATTGCGTTGCCGGTGTTTGGTAACTATGAGCCAAGAACAATGATGCAAACAAATCACCAGTACCGGTAAATGAAATATTTGTGCCTTGTTTGGGAATATTAAGAGCGTAACGCGGCCCAGCTTTTTTGCTTAGGAATGCGCGGAGTTCTCCGGGTTTACCAAAATCGCTGCTTGAAATTGCCACGGTATCAATGCCACGTCCATGGAACCAATTAATTGCCTCCCAAATATATTTTTCATTTGATATTTTCATTTCGGTCAAAAGCTCAACCTCATATTGATTAGGCGTTATAATGTCCGCTAAAGGAATAATTTCATCACGATATATTGGAAGTAATTCCTTTGGCACGTACATTTGTCCATCATCGCCCATGACCGGATCACAAACTGTAAACATTTAACGAAAAAGTACATGATTAAAAATTCTCTATTTAACAGCAACATTACTCAACCATATATCACGTTCGGATCGTTAGCGCGTAATTTAGATACGATTTTAGCAACTTGTCTCAGAAAAGAGGCATTTCCTATATACCCGGTCAGTAGATGTGAATAACAATTCAAGAGGCCGTTGCTTTCAAGTCCATCAAATAAATCAACTAAATTAAAATGTGTGCGTGTGTACGTTAATGGATAAGATCTAATAATCAATTTACTATAACTTGCCTAATTCCTTTTCCTGCAGAACTTGACCCTTAACCGTGGCATAGCCTGTGTGATTGGAAAATTGTACCGAATTGATGGCATCCACTTCAAAGCCTAAGACCTTGACGAGATAAATATACAGTTTATTGAGTGAATTCATATAGATATTATTACAATATTTACTCACTTGCAGTGGAAAAGTTGCACTTTTATTGCCCACATATCCATGCACTACATGACTCTGAATAGACAGTACCCGTGTTTTTAGTTGATTCGTGCTGTTTGTCGACGACATCTCTCAACGAGGTCTAGAATACAATTAACTGATTAACTGCCGCCTTTGTTTTGTTTATCGCCAGCCTTATCTAGAAACGAAGAGAGAGAGCAGTGATCTAGTGAGTGTAAAAATAAATATGCAATTGCTATTAAACACATTTCTCTCTGGCTGGTTGTATTGTTACAAAGTAATGAATGAGAATGGAAAATATAATTTATAACGTACGTACATATGTACTTTACTTTTGTATGTATTATTTATTGTGTGTATCAAAATTGTTTATTCTGTAGAAATGTGACTAGCCATTTGCATCGAAATCATTCTTGTTTTGTTCGTTTAAAAATAATCTTCGAAATGTTTTTGCGTACTGAAAGTATGTAAATATGCATAAATGTTCTTCGATAGCAATGACAGCACGCATATCACCGTTTCCAAGTGAACTGATACAATTTTATTAGCATTAATGTGTAAAGATTTGCTATAAAGTGGGGTAATTTAAAGCGAAGCAAATATATTAGAAAACATATGATCGGAGAAAATCTCTGATAACAATTTTTGAAATATACTTATTATGTGCATTTTAGTCCAAACTTCTGCAATGTAAATGGGTGGGTTTTGAAAAAAACGAAACGAAAAATAAGACCGGCTACTAGATATTGGTCTGTTTCAGAACTGAAAGAATGTAAAAGTTTTTACTACGATAACCGATTTTCCTTTTATGATATGAAAGAAAAATTGCAAAACTAGTCGATTCTTGCAGGTTCTGGAACAACCCGCATAGCAAGTGTTCAGCACTTGTGAAAATGTGAAAACGTAAGATTGATCGGCTTTCTGAATTCACAGGTAACTCTTATTCTTCAAACTTTTAAGCCGGTCATTAACCTTAGCGAAGTATATTTATGCAATTAGGATACATAACAAAAAAATATGAAAAACACAGTTGCAAGTAGCTGAAATCGATTCGAATTGATTTGTGGTATCGGACATATAGCGGTGGTCTTTCATGAGAAACACAACTTTCTCTGAAATTATACCTTCAAAATTCTATAACTATTCCATGATAGAAAATTCTTATTAACTAAGGCCAAAACGATTCGAAATGGTTTCCATATGAATCTAATGCCATGTTTACGTTAGAACTTTTTGTAGGGTTAACCTACTTTGAGAGGATTTATTTGAAGTAAAAGTAATGGATATGACAATTTAAATCCAAATCCAGTGGGTTAACCCTCATATATATATAAACGTACTGTAAGAACTGTTTATTCAACATTTAAAATTACCAAGCCAAGCAAGAATATTACAACCTGACAGACATACTTACTACCTCCAGAAAATGCAATTTATGGACTTGTCAACAGTTGGAGATAAATATGGTTCCAGTGTGATATTGAAAGTAGTAATTCGATAATATTACAAGTTTAATGTGGCGTTAAATAAATCCATAATAAAAGTTAAAGTGTTAACTCTCGTATTCGTATTTTTATTCCTGGACAAACAAGTCGTGGATGCAGGTCCATCTGTGACGTCCCCAACAAAACAAATAAGACGCAAGACATAATACCCCGATGTAGTAACTAAATACGAGTTAACAGTTTGGTGAGTACTCACTTCCTATGACATGCCCACGTTAAAATAAAAATAAGGTGTTAGGATGCTGTTTGGTAGGTAGTTACTGTTGTTGTGTGTATTGCGTTGCACTGGCAAAATAAAAGACGTCCCGAATAAAACAAATAAGAAGCTAAGACATAATGCCCGATAAAAAATAATCAAAAAGCAAACCTATGTTGTTTACGAATGAGACGTGAGGATAAAGCAATCAGCTGGAACATTCATTAAAATGAGCGCGGAACTAGTATACAATGTTTTAGGGCGGCGTATCATGTTCAAGCCAATCAGCGACGGCGCACTGTACACAAACACATTTGCTCTGTTTCAGAACTGCAAGAATGTAAACCTTTTTGACACGTTGACCAACTTTCACTATATAATATCGGAAAGAATTGCAAAACTAGTAGATTTTTTCAGATTCTGAAACTGAGCAATCATCAAACCATGGCCTACCCATTAGATCATACGAGCTGATTTCACCCGAATTTTCAAAATAAATACGAATACGAATGAGTTAAACGCATTGTAGAAGAATATAGGTAGAAGCATGGTACAATGAAGAGAAGGTAGGTCAACTTTGAAAAAATTGCAAGTATAGAGGTCTACCTGTTTGGCTTGTAATGTCAGAATTACTATACAAACAATAACAAAGCAAACAACTTGTTGCATTGATTTTGAATAAATAATTTAAAACCGCGAAAACTGAATGAATGGTCACAATTTCTTTTCAATATCATGTTCTATATATCTCTTATGGTTTCTTATACGATGCAAATCGGAGGTTGTTGTGATATAAATTTTTCAATAATTTTTACAAATCTCAATAATTTTTCATTCAACATTTGTACGCGGAACAAATGTATGCACCGTTTTACTTTTGTTACTACACACTTTATTCATTTAAAATAATTCTTAAGTTCTACTTATGATAATTTTTCTTAACCTAGTCTAGCATAAAGTGTAAGAGAGAGAGAGAGAGAGAGACAGAGAGAGAGAGAGAGAGAGAAATAGAGAGATACAAATCTACACATGCCGCCATAAATTCTAGGGGAGGTCATAAAACATGCGTAGCAATCTCACTTGTGGCAAGCAAACATGCTGCACTTCCTTATCAGTATGAGTTAAGATTTCATCCAGTAATCTAACTCAAACATACCACATGCAGCAATTGAATTATTTATTTCTAACTCAAAGGTCTGTTCACCACATTTTCTTATATAATATGGACTGTATTAAAAAGATCCCTGTTTAACAAATCCCTCTCATCTACACAGTTAGCCCCGCTATTCTCTTTTATTATAAAAACATGTTCACTTATCCGTGAACATTCTTGGCAGGGGCAAAAATACGTATAAAATATAAAAATTATAAAAAGTTAAAAAAATCTAAGGGAACAGACATTTTAAGAGAAAAGAAATTAAGTTATGGCACCCAGGAAACTCCTCCATCTTTCCAGCCGGTCTATCTTGAACGTCCCACCTCCTTTGTCTGCCGGCTTTAATTTCCAGGCTGAATCCGTTTTATGCATCGTCTTCTTTCTTTGGCGAAAAATGTCATCGTTCTCTGGCAGCGCCATCTTATCGCCCCACAGTTCATAATTTCTTGTCTCTACAGCCTGCCTTTTTCTACCTGCATGGTTTCCACCAGGCATCTTCATGGCAACTTGCGCTTCCTTGAGCACCTTATTGCCCCAGCGACACAGATGGATATCCTTCTTCTTCTTCATCTCGATGGTAAACAGCTTATCTTTGACCTCTGCTTCCAACGCCAAATATTGTTGTTCCAAAAACTGAACAACGTCACTTAACTTTTGTGTTTCTCTTGGCTTTCTTGTTTGCTGTTCGTACAGCCTTAATCCATTTCTGTCAAATTTCCTTAGAATAACCCTTGCGAAAAATATATCGGTGTTTTCCAATTGTATATTGATGGATTTAAGGCCTTGAATGCTATTCTTTGTTGTGTCCAGCATCTGCTTCACGCTCTTTGTGGACTCACTATCCATTGTTGGCTGATCTAAAATGTCATCCACCATCTTATTGAATAGCACCCTCCGATTCTCGTATGTTAATTTCAACAACTGTAGCGCCTCCTCATAAGAGTTGTCCTGTGTCCTTAGATGTTGTATTATATGACTCGCCTCTCCTATTACCGCCGCTTTTAGCCTATGCATTTTTTCCACGTTGGTGTAGTACGGTGCATCGTGCACTAGGCTCTTGAAAAGATCATGAAACGATTCCCATTCACTTATATCACCACTGAATGTGGGAACTTCAATTTCCCTTTTATTGATGATGCTGTACGGCTGCTCCCTCCTTCTTGCTATTTTTGACTGAGATTCTCTGATAGCTGCTAATATTTTTGATTTCTTAATTAACAGTCGTCTCCATTGTTCCTGAATTTCTGGATCGATTAGTATCTCCCTTTCCGCGGTCTTCACAATTTTTCCGATAAAATCAAATGCTGTCTCTATATCCTTTTCCGTCTCTAGGCTATCCATCAGTATCATGGTACATTCCACCTCTCGTATGATCCCTCTAGCCTCTAACTCGATCTTGGTCGGTGCCGAGCTCTCCAACGAATCGTCCTCCCGGGAGTATGGCCCCACAGCCACATCCCTTTTGTCTGACTCCCTTATGTTCAGATTTGAAGCCCCCTCGTCGCTTTTGCTCGCCAACACCGCCGTTACTTCCATATCTCGGATGATCGCTCTGGCCTCTAACTCGATCTTGGTCGATGCCGAGCTTTCCAACGAATCGTCCTCCCGGGAGTATGACCCCACAGTCACATCCCTTATGTCTGACGCCTTTTTGCCCAGATGTGAGGCCCCCTCATCGTGTTTGCTCGCCGTCACCGCCGTTTCTCTTGCCGCAATCTCCTTTTGACTCCGCATACTAGGGAAATTCCATTGAATGCTCCTTGCACCCAATTCTTCCCTTTTCTCTGTTTCGGGACGTATGTTTTGAGTCTCCACTCCGTTATCATCCTTATTGTCTGCCGCCATCAATTTATTCTCTGATCCAGTTTCTTCAGCTTCTGTTGAATCTTCCGAAAGCAATTTTTGAGATCTTAATTCTCCTGTTTTAATTTCATCAATTGTTTTTTCAATTTCCTGCATCAATTTTCGGGTGTAGCCGTATACATCTTTTTTGTAATAGTCACCATATTTAAAAGGTTTCGACATTAATATTTCGTGGTTTTTTAGGAAAATGTCCCATTTTCCTCTAGCAGTTTTTTCCACTACGGACACTCTACAAGTGCGCATTGGATCTTCCAGCTGCTGTTTAATTTTTACCAGACAGTCGACTATGTCTCTTTGGTTCTCAATCATGGTTTCTGTTTTGCCCATTTTATTATGCTTCTTTTTTATTTTGCTGGTTCTTTTATTATTATTTTTTTGTTTTACGTTTAGGCTCGATGGACCAGATGTACGCGGAACAAATGTATGCACCGTTTTACTTTTGTTACTACACACTTTATTCATTTAAAATAATTCTTAAGTTCTACTTATGATAATTTTTCTTAACCTAGTCTAGCATAAAGTGTAAGAGAGAGAGAGAGAGACAGAGAGAGAGAGAGAGAAATAGAGAGATACAAATCTACACATGCCTGTGCACCATGCCGCCATAAATTCTAGGGGAGGTCATAAAACATGCGTAGCTATCTCACTTGTGGCAAGCAAACATGCTGCACTTCCTTATCAGTATGAGTTAAGATTTCATCCAGTAATCTAACTCAAACATACCACATGCAGCAATTGAATTATTTATTTCTAACTCAAAGGTCTGTTCACCACATTTTCTTATATAATATGGACTGTATTAAAAAGATCCCTGTTTAACAAATCCCTCTCATCTACACAGTTAGCCCCGCTATTCTCTTTTATTATAAAAACATGTTCACTTATCCGTGAACAACATTTCTATTCCAAAATCGGTTTGACAATTCATTGTCCCAGCAGCTCTGTCGATACGACTACCTGTATTCTTCTACAATGAACAAACGTATGAGAACGTAAACAAACATTTTCACATTATGAGAATTTACACGATCTGTTTAATGGGGTTGCCCAGGAACAAGAATGTCCGAGTTTAGTTCGACTTCCTCTCCAAAGTCGAAGTAAACTTATTTCTGATGCGTGTTCGTAGTTGAAGTATTCTCGGACCGAAGGGTTGAATGAAATTCTGAAATTTTCACTTACTTTCAATACAAAGTCGGACCGAATTCGCGAGGATATGGAATAATGTTCATGTAAAATTTCGACTGCCTTACGATGACTACGATACAACCATTTCCTGGAACTAGTATTAAAATCTGTTTGCTCTTCTTACTACCAACTTTCAATAGCCACCAATTGCCCAACGCATTTTTATCGTAATATGAATGTCAGTTGGCACGACAATTACAATTAGAACAAGTAAAAAAGCAGTAAGTTCGGCCGGGCCGAACTTTCAATACTCTCCACCATTTGGAACGAATTAGAAAATTTTCAGAAAAAATAAAATCCATTGAAAATTCTGTTAAAATCTTTAAAAGGCCTAATATCGGAAGGTGCCGATATATAGTGGGATATACGATATTGTGGACCTATATAGAAAAATCTATGTCTGGGGGTAAAGTACTCACAAAGAACTCCTTGTATAGAATTTCAGACAATTCCGTTAAAAAATGTTGCTAAAATCATCAAAATATACGATATCGTGGACCTATATAGATAATTCTCTTCCAAGGGATAAAGTACCCACAAGGAACTCCTTGTGTGGATTATCAGACAATTCCATTAGAAAATGTGGCCAAAATCATCAAAATAGCGAAAATCGGGGGGGGGGGGGGGGGTACCGTTATATGGGGCCTATACGATATCGTCGACCTATATAGATAATTCTCTTTCGAGGTATAATGTATCCACAAAGAACTCCATATGTGGATTTTCAGACAAATCCGTGGAAAAATGTGGGTAAAATCATCAAAATACCGAATATCGGGGGGGATACCGTTATATGGGGGCTATACGATATCGTGGACCTATATAGCCCATCTTCGAACTTGACCTACCTGCAGACAAAACAGAGAGATCTGTGCAAAATTTTAGCTTTCTATCTTAATTCGTTTAGACTGTAGCGGGATTACAACAGACGGACAGGGCTAAATCGTCTTAGAATTTTACGCTGATCAAGAATATATATACTTTGTTGGGGCTAAAATGATTATTCGATGAGTGGAATGACGAACTTAATATACCCTCCATACTATAACAATTGGACACTTTTTATGGTAATTTTTTTGGACGTTGCAACCGTGTATCGCTTGTGTGCTGGTTGTACGAAAATCAATATTTATTGAATTTTGGCATGTGGGATTGACATCGAAAAAAGTTGCACAACTACTAGATTTTTGCAGGTACTGCAACAGAGCTGATGTCTATAATGTCTATTCTGATAAGTTGATCCGGGTCTTAAACCCGGACTTTCGGGTCAACAATCTAGGGTTCCGGGTCTGTCCCACAAGAAAAAAAAAAAATAGATTCCCGGAATCAAGGTAAAAATACCTACCACTGGAAAAAAATTCAAAGAGATTGAAGAGTTTTTACTAAATGAGAGTTAAGCCAAAAATTCATATATGCTCTGTTCCAGAACTGCAAAAATGTAAAACCTTTTGCTACGATAACAGATTTTCTCTTTACGAAACCGAAAAAATCGCAATATTAGTATATTCTTGCAATCTCTGGAACAGACCAATAGTAATTGCTCCAGAATTGGAGCAAGACCACTAACTTTTACATGAGAGTAATTGTTCTGGTTCAACAAAGCAGCTTGTAGGCATTTTCATGGAGGAGAGTCCTTTTTGGTTGGACTAAAATTTCATCCAGCTTCAACCTTGCATTAACAGAACAAAACTAATACATGCGCGCTCATGAAAACAAAATAAATAAAAAAATTACTTACTAAGCTTTGTATACGTATTCAATTTAAGACAGTTTCATTAGTCTTTTGTGTTTTGGAGAGAAAAATTTGTTTGGACTAAAAATTACTCCCGTGTGAATGGGGCCTATGATATTGAGAAAAATTGAACATTTGCAGAGCATCGCAGTCAAGGTAGATCTAACAGGTAACTGCATTGGCGAATTGCTACAACAAAGCAACTTTTGTGGTTCCCTCAAATGTCAAAATTGGCATCTAAGGCGAAAAACATAGATTCGCCATGACATTTAAAGTTTGCGGCAAATTTGTTTCATCTACCTTGATCGCAGTTTTTGGATTAAAGCAAAAATCTGACATTTACTGTAATGTGGCGTTTCCACTACACTTGATTCGCTCTCTATTCTTTGTTCTTCACACAAAATTTCCTGAGCGAACACTTATATTTGTACATTGTTCAAATCAAATCACTCTCGGAACAACGAAAAAATATGTCCCATCCCTAACAAATGAGAGCATTTATCGAAAAAATAAATTATGACATTTAAAAATTAAAACTAGAAAAATTTAATGAAATTTTAAAATTTTTTGGGAAGACTGAAAATTATGAATGAAAACTACAATGTTGAATGGCGTATGTACATTCAAACGAAAGTACATTTTGTTTTCTCTTTCATTCGAGGTACGCATTTTGTCCACGAGTTGAAATTTCCACAGAAAACTGCAAACAAAAGAGCAATATTTTCAAAATGTTTGTATCGGCAGGAAAAAATTTTTGACAAGTGTCTCTCCAGCAGAATTTAAAATTAAAAAAATACAAAAATATGTTCAAAATGTCAATATTTACACAAAAACTTGAAAACATGAATAAAAATTGTAAAATTAATGATATAATTATTCTTTGGAAGAAAAACAATAATTTCTTCTATTCATATTAGTGAAAATTTCATGTATTTTTGTATAAATTCCCATTCAAATCAACAAACAAAATTTGTGAAAAAAGGAATTATTTTACTATGAATTACGAATCGTGCCGCATGAACGGGTTAATTCGTGTACCTAATTCTGAGAGCGAACAACGTGATTGAAAGTGTAATGAGAACATAGCATAAGTAGTCGACAATTCTTATTTCAATAATCGTTTAGTAATCGATAAATCGGGAATCGATTGGTTTCTATATTCTATTATAACATATGAGCGAGCAAATAGCATGATAATTTTGTAACCAATTTTTATAAATTAAATTGTCGCCGAAAATTAGTAAAAATATGTCTTCGTTGAGTAGACTATTGAAAAGTAAAAAGTGTGTATCAAATTATGGGCAGCAAATCCGAGTCTTCAGCGCACAAGCATCTCCAAATGGAAATGATGTGGAAATGGATGATGAGGGTAATATCAGTTGTGCAAACATATAGAATGGCAGTACATTATTATTATGTATTTTTTTAGAATTCCGTGTGTTGAATTTGCGTGCTTCCAACCAAAAGCAGTTGGCGCGACGAGAATTTAAAAAACCTGAGGTAATGCCACCACGTAGTCTTAAAATGGCAACAGACCAAGATTGGACAGCCGTTTGGCCGGGCCCTCGTTCCTTCCATCCCGCTTCTGTACCCTTACCTATTCGTCAAGGCTTTACTGTAAAGGGTGCAGCACCTCCATCAAAGTATGCAAATGCCGAACTTATGAAAATTCCCAACTTCCTACATCTAACTCCGCCCGCGATTAAGCAACAATGTGAGGCAATAAAAAAGTTTTGTACACCTTGGCCCAAGGGACTGGAAACAGAAGAGAAATGGAAACGTCTATTCCCTGTGGATGTTGTTAGCACAGATTATTGTCAAGCATTGCCCACTATACGTAACCCAGATGCGCGTCGAGTTACTATCACACTGAAACTGTCAGAATTGAAATTTGATGATCATGCCAAAGACAAATTTTTGCGTTTGGTTGGAGATCGCTATGACAGTGAAACCGATATACTTACGATTGTGGCGGATAGGTGTCCTTTACGAAAACAAAATTACGATTATGCTATGTATTTACTAACGGCTTGCTATCACGAATCGTTCATTACCGAGCCCTGGGAAGAAAGTAAGAGTGAAGCTGATATGGAAAACTATAAGTACGAGCGAAATAAGTCGAAACTTTCTGTTGAACAAATTTTGAATTGGGGAAATGCCGATTCCTCAGACAAGCGTGAAGCAAGTACTGGATACATTGAAAGCCTTGAAAATCTTGTGAACGGAGGAGAAAATGAATACAGTTTGAATAAATATAAGGAAGAAGTCATAAAAATGATAGGCCTTAGGCAATAAAAGGAAAAAATTGAATGAACATAAATTTGTTAAACATTTTATTATTAAATTAAATTAATTAATAAATAAGTGAAGATGTGTTTGATTTGATCAGGGCCGGCCATGTGATTCTTTATCGGTCTTTAGTACTAATAGGTCTCAGGTTCCCAATGGAAACGTTCGAGCTTGCGGAAAGATCGATGTTAAATTTATTACCAAGAACAAAGTTCAAATGTCCAGGAATATAATGATTAATTATTTTCACAAAATTTAATAGGTCCACTGGGGCCCCGTTTTTAATTGGGCGAAAAAGGCAACTCACGGTGGGGGGAGATCCTCAAAAAAAACGTAGATTAATTCAGATAACTATTATATCGCTTTGAAAGTTTACTCAGGCACTGGAGCATATCGGTCCAAGTTTCGGTATGGTCCCCATGTAGCGTTACTTCCTGATTTTAGGTATTTTGACCCTAATTACATTCGAACCGTGGTTGGACCGAATTCGCTAGGATATTCAAAAGAAATGCGGAAGGAAATTAAAGTTGGCGAACTGAATTCGTGCCAAACTCGGAAGTGATATCATGCGAATTTTTGATGTAGACTTTCCAACAGTTTTCGGTAAGAATTCCGAAGAAAGGTCTTATGAAGTTCAGATGTACATGTTAACAATGGTCATAATGTATTGAAAAGAGCAAATAGCAATAATCATCGATTATTCACACACACACACACATGTGGTATATTCTAGAACTGCAGGTAACGTAACAGTGCAATGGTCTGTTGCAGAACAGCAATTTCGGTTTATATTGTACCTAAACTCGTCAAAATACCAAATATAGGGAGGTACTGGTATGTGGGGCCTATACGAAGACCTGGTCCTGCATAGACAATTTTCTGTCACAGACTGTAGTTCCAATTACGAGCTCTAAATACGCTGAATGAATCACGCTGAAATCATCAAAATACCGAATATAGCGAGGTACCGTTATATGGAAGCTATACGAAGACGTGGACCTGCACAGACAGTTTTCATGTTTTAGGCTGTAATATCCATTTCGAACTTCAAATACCAAATTTGAAACAATTCCGGTGAATAATGTCGCTAGAATCATCAAAATACCGAATATCGAGGTGTGCCGTTATATGGGAGCTATACTAAGGCGTGGACCTGTACAGACATTTTTCTGTCATAGGCTGTAGTATCCATTACGAACTTTAAATACCAAATTTCAAACAATTTCGATGAATAATGTCGCTAAAGTCATCAAAATACCGAATATCGGGAGGTACCGTTATATGGGGTCCATACGAAGACGTGGACCAGCACAGACAATTTTCTTCTCTGCTTCAAAAATCAAATTTGAAACATTTCCGGTGAATAATGTAGCTTAAATCACCAGAATATTGAGGTATCATTATATGGGGGCTATACCAAAACGTGGACCTACATGGCCCATTTTCAATACAAAAAGTCCTAGAGACATAATATACATTTGATTAAAATTTTATCAACCTACTTCATTTCGTTCGGAAATCACTCTTTCCGCAGACGGACGGACATCGCTTAATCGACATAGAATTTTATGCTGATCAAGATCACAAAGTATATGTGGGGTCTAAAATGTATGTTTCGAGGTGTTACAAACTGAATGAAAAACTTAGTAGTATTGTGGCATGGGTGAATTGCGTGTTACCTCTTGGTTTTTTTCTTAATCAATGGCAAACGTTAATAAAATAATCAAACGTTAATAAAATAAGGAATGATATTGGTTGGTGTTGTGTGCAATGTAGAAAACTCTGCAAGTTTCTACAATTTTGTAAAAAAAAAACTGCAGTCGGAATTGACATATATGAAAAAGGAATTTTCTTCACTATCCATGGAGAATATGTTTACAATTTTTTTCAAAATTATTCATTTGACAACATTTCATTGTCAAAATGTATATTTATGAATTCATTCTACATACAGGAATCAGAGTTGGGAACTTGTTTTCTATGCAGTAAACTTTGACAAGGTAAATTACAGAAAATACAGAGATGGGTATGCTTATTTGAAATGACTTAACTTCTTAATTTTACCATGTCACTATCACTCAAAAATCGGTAACTTTGAAACCTAAAATTTTAATATAAAAAAGAAGTTGAAGTTGACAACATTGGTATCTATAGGTAGGTCTTAGCGACGACTTTGATTTCGTCGCTAACTTACCGAAATTTTTTGTTAATTATCGAAAATATAAGCATTTCAATTTTACCGACTTTTGTTGGTAACTCAAAAATTGAGTTAGAAAATTCCACTACAGGTTTGCACAAGAAACAACGGCTTATGACGTAAGTTATTATATAAAATCTAAAATTGAGGGAAATTACTTTTTGGGTTATTATAGGCTCCTGCTGGGGCATTCAATAAAAAAATTTCTGGATATATCCGATAATTTAGCCCATTTGCCTCTAAGACCAGATTCAGTGCCAAAAAAACTTAATAATTCATTTTCTGTTTGCAGATTCTGCAGATTTTGAAACAGAGCATACATGAGTTTCGACTAAAAATCGAAATGCATGACATGCAATTTTGTGGTGTTAATAAAAATGTGTATGTATGCGTCACACATATGATGCATGAAGCAAAATCCAAATTTGTAGATTTTTCTCGTGCATGGCGTTCGATTTTGACGTGTGTGCGGTAAACGCTTTTTTCAAAACAAAATGCGACGCTTTTTTCAAGACGAATGGGTGCATACACATGTTGAGATACTGAGAAAAAAATGTTTTTGAGTTGTTGGAAGTTGGCAGCACTTTGGGATGTTAAACGTGAAAAATATAACAATCCGGTTATTAAAGAAATTCAATATGAAGATGATTGATGCCGAAATACCGAAAAATTAATAAGAGACTCAACCAGGCTTAGAAATTCCTAGTAAGTGGAATTATTCATTCTTAATTTTTTAAATCATTTGCCAATGACACTGCTTTTTCAGCTAATTAATTTTCAAGTGTCAATTAATTTTTCTGTACCACTCTTTCATCCAGTTTCTGTTATTTCTCTTACTGTTTTAATTTTCCTTCTTTTTTAAGCACACGGCCATAATCGTTAAAACTGTATCGTCCGTTATCGACATTGTCTGTACAGTACGATATCAAAAGCAAAATGAATGCATGAACCATGTGAGTTGAGAGTTTCATGCCCACTTATACGATTTTGACGTCATGCATTTTGACCGTGTACGGGTCACTTTACACCTTTCAAAAGCAAATGTCACTTAACTGAAAGTCGACTTACGTATCCCTAATAATAACAACCGGTCAGACGGATTTAATTAAGTGGTGTGTGTTCTTAGTGAAATTAAATTATTAAATTAACGCGTCGGGAAATCTCTCTCCTTATTGCATTTAACCATACTATACTTTTGTTGGCGATGAAATTAAAGTGTAAAAAGCGCACATAATCCTCTTGGAAAAGAATTGCAGACGTGTTATTATTCTCTGCATTCGCAAACTGACGTACGTTTAGTATCACCTAAATTCTTTGTTATCAAAGCATTTCCTCATTTTAAGAACATAGATAAAATTAAAAGATAAAAAACAAAAAGTTACAGTTCAGATCGTTTAATACGTGTCTAATACATTCTACGATTCAAAAAGAATAGCTAAGAATTAAAGCAGACTATATATGTTATCCAAAATAAAAACTGCAACCAACTACAATCCCAGATAAATATAAATGAGTAAAAACCGTAAAAACCAGTTATTTTTATTTTATCAATCAAAATTACCTCCGCTTTATTTTTTGACAAACATACAAATATGTTAAAGAAGTATGTTAATGAAAATCAGTTTGTGATCTGCATTATTCTCATTATGCACAACAGCACTACGGTCTAAATAAACCTTGGAGTAATGTTAAATTAAACGTCAACTTAACATCTGGAATGCCAAAAAACACCACTTAATGTCGGCTTAACTCTAGTTTAGTAAAAACTCTTTAATTTTTTTGAAATTTTTCCAATGGTAGGTATTTTTACCCTGATCCCGGGGAACTATTTTTCTTGGGGAACGGACCCGGGACCCCAGATTTTTGACCCGAAAGTCCGTGTTCAAGGCTGGACCCGGATCCAATTACCCGATATAGACAATATACTTATTGTTGGACCCGAAAAAGGCGTTTGCACAAATTGTAGCATTTTGGAAAGGTAAGAGTGTCAGCTATAATTTGGCATCAATTTTGTTGACCCCCATAAAGAACCCTTTTTCGATTTTTTGGGGGTTTTATAAAAAATCCTGGTCCAAAAAATCGATAATTTGAATATAACTTCCGAACCGTGACTTCCATCATGTGGCCACTTGTTGGATAGGTATTTTTATAAGCTTTCCAACGATAAGATGGGAAATTGGATCCGGGTCCAGTCTGGGTCTTGAACCCGGAATTTCGGGTCAAAAATCTGAGGTCCCGGGTCCATCCCCCAAGAGAAAAATAGTTCCCCGGGATCATAGTAAAAATACCTACCACTGGAAACATTTTCAAAAGATGTCTTATCTATATTTTGAAGCTATTATGTGGGGTACAGCTAGGTTCAGGTTGGGAAAACTACCAAATTACACTTTCATAATAAGGAAATAATCTTGACACAAAGCTTACGAGCTATAAGTCAGATCAGAAAGAAGGACGAAAGAGCAAGTAGGAGAAAACAGAGTTTGAAAATGAGAGAATGCAATGGTCGGATGGAATTGGTATGATAAAGTAAAATTCATTTCATATTTTAAGCTAGTTGGAGAATAAGCTTTGTGTCCGGCCCAGAGCAGGAGTCCGAGCTCTTCCATTAGGTTGGGGTTTTAACTGCATTACTCATCTACATTACATTCTGGTAGGAAAGAAAGAAGAATCGGATATCAACCACTTTTAATATGAAAGATTTGGGGTCGAACCCCCAGAAACCGCCAAATATTTCTATAAATTTTTAAATCTTTAAAAACTACCCGTATTTGTGACCATTATTCAATCAATTGTTAGTTATCATTTGTCAGTATGGTGTATGAGTGGTAACTATACGCTATGAAAAACCATTCAAATTTCAAAGTTCCGTTCTAAGAATTGTAACTTGGTGCTTTTCTTGACATAAGTGGGCAAGGTAAGATATCTTAAGTGGAGATTATGATAACTTAAGTCAGTCATGATTTTTTATAAAATACATATTTATTATTCTAAGAAAAATACCATGCTTCGACGTCGCAGCACAAAATAAGAGAAGAAACAATCAGGGATTTGATGTTGTGACAAAAAACAATACTTCTCAAAGTTAATTTATATTTTTCATCCCACTGTGTTGATACAAATGCATGCATTTTTGTTGGTGATGTTGACATTTAACCTACTTAAATGAAACTAGACTATGCCACTGGTTTTGCAGTCAAATGTGTATTCAGGTGAATGTACGTTATTTCGTCGCGATGCTTTTTATTATTTAGATTATAGACTTATTTTAATGGTATACCCTACATCATATTAAGCTGTAGGATATTAGGCATTTGGGGATTTAGGTGCAACACACAATAGGAGATAAAATATACTAATAGTTTGTTTAAGGGCCATAACCGCCAGGTCACAATACTTTGTTTTTTTTTTGTTAATACTATATAAGACAATGGGAATTATGTTCAATAAAACCTAAGTTTCTAATTTTTGCCTACAGAAGTGTCACATAACATCTGTGTTTTAATAACGTTTAACGAATCACATATTAAGAAGAGACGGTTATATGATCCGAGATTTGGACCACATTTTGGAATGCTCTTTAGCATTCTTGAAGTCCGTATTGAAAAAAGGGAACTATACCTACAGATATATTCGAGTTGTCTACACATATTAAATATTCTTTTCCAGTGGATAGCTTATCAATCATTAAATCAGTATTTTTAATATTTTTCAAAACGTTTCTTAAAACAAAGAAACTAATTTTGTTTGGTAAATAGCTACGATTAGTTTATTTGCTGCTTTTAAACTCATACGTGTCCACGAAATCGAAATAGATGGATATGTAATGGCCAATATGACCTGAGCGTCTGTGAACAGTTAAAAATATAATTAGAGCCATGCTCTTGACTCCTTCAGTATTAATGCACTCCTCCCCGACAACCGAGATTGGAAATTTAGGATGAATGGGGACGCTGTCCTTTGCATTGTCTTTGTTTGGGCAGCAGCGATTTGGTTCACAACACATGGAACCACATTCGAGATTCGTTTGATGGTCTAGATCGTACCTTAATATATTACGTGCGAGGAAAATTAGAAAGAGCCACAATAGAAGTGGGCGAGTGTTATTAGGAGAGATTTTCTGGCAACAGATAACCATCCCTTGGGTTGTTACCTATTGCCAGTTTTCCTTATGGAACTCTTGCCCATGCTTCAATTGATTATCCATTGAATACGGATAGAGAAATGACTGACAGGTTGTGTACGAGAGCAATCCAAGGCAATACTCGTTCTGGCAATACTCGTTCTGGCAATACTCGATGTGATATGAAAACGTTTATAAGGATCTATATATCATTTCAAATTTTATTAAAATGTCAAGTAAACATGTAACTCTATCAGTAAGTCCTCTCTAAACCTGAGTCCAGTATTATGGGAAATAGTCAGAGTATGCTTAAGGAAGAATTTTCGTTGCTCTTGCAGCTTAAAAATTGTTTTCAAAAATGTATATGCTCGCCTTCAGTGAAAAAATTAGCCGAGTAATTTAATTGTCAAATTTCAATTCTTGTTCCAATTATAGGTAAAACAACAAATTGTATCTCTTTTCACCGAAAAAAACTCTACATGAAATTAATGAAGCGGTAATATTTACTACAAATTGAATAATACAACTTCGAGAATGAGAAGACCAAACGTTAAATGGCTTTTTAAGACTGCATGTTTGCTGATAATAGCTGGTACGCTATTTATTCTCCTAACGGGATACCTATCTGCCAGTCCGTATACCAACAAACCAACATTTATACAAAAGCCAATTGTTGCCGCACATGTTGCACAAAAACCTCCCAGTCAACATGACCGGCATCAACCTTTGGCGGATGTTGTTGAGCAACCAGTTGGTCCAGCTCCGGAGGAAAACAGGCCACCAAAGGTAGCTCCTGTTGAACAACCAAAAATAAAAAGTGATGAAAACAATGTAGACAATGATGCTGTCAACAATGAATTATTGGAAGAAGAACGTCAACAGCCGCAATTGCTGCCACCCAGCCATACGAAGAGGGATTGGCACGATTACACTGCTATGGAACGGGATTCCAAGCGCGTAGGTTTTGGAGAGCAAGGAAAGAGGGCCTATAACAACGACGAGTCCACAAAAGACTTAGAGCGGAAAATGTCCCTGGAAAATGGTTTCAATGCATATTTATCAGATATGATTTCGGTGAACCGTTCAGTACCAGATATACGTAATAAGGGGTAAGAGTTTGAAGCAGTGTTTGAATTTACTGTGTTCAAAGCAATAGTTTTTGGAGCACGCAAACAAAAGCTATTTCTGTGTTGTGACTATCAAAAGTTCACAGTGTACCGCTGCAAGACAAAAATTGTTTGATATGCTGTGCACATTTCTACAGCTATAATTTTCTTTATCAATAATACTCCAGCATAACTATATGATAGCTTTTTTTCCTTTTTTTCATATGTTTTGGCATAATTAATCGGATAAAAGCCTACCGAGAGACGAATGAAAACCGACATTAAATTCAAACACTGGTTAGAACCGAATGTTATTACTCTCAAATATTCAAACAATTCTGTACCTTTTCAGTTGCCGCAATAAACTGTACGATGGCGAGTTACTCACGGTTAGTGTAGTAATTCCATACTACAACGAGCACTTTAGTGTGTTGGTCCGTTCCATACATAGTTTAGTCAATCGGTCACCTCCAGAGTTACTCAAGGAGATTATATTGGTGGATGATTTTAGTGACCGTGAATATCTATTCAAACAACTTGATCAGTACGTGGCAGAGAATTTTCCAAATCTGGTACAAATTATTCGCTTAAAGAAGCGCACGGGACTAATAGGTGCGCGTATGGCTGGTGCACGCAAAGCTACTGCGGATGTTTTGATATTTTTGGATTCGCATATAGAAGCCAATTACAATTGGCTGCCACCATTGCTGGAACCAATTAAATTTAATAAACGTACTGCTGTATGCCCTTTCATTGACGTTATTGATCACAGCAACTTTGAATATCGCGCCCAGGATGAGGGAGCTCGCGGAGCTTTTGATTGGGAGTTCTACTATAAACGATTGCCTTTGCTACCGGAAGATTTGGTGGATAGGACCAAACCGTTTAAAAGTCCTGTTATGGCAGGTGGCCTCTTTGCAATTTCTAGAGAATTCTTTTTTGAGCTCGGTGGCTATGATGAGGGACTGGATATTTGGGGAGGTGAACAATATGAACTAAGTTTCAAAATATGGATGTGTGGTGGTGAAATGTACGATGCGCCCTGCTCTCGTATTGCCCACATATACCGAGGTCCACGTAATAGCATGCCCAGCCCTCGTAAAGGTGACTACGTTCACAGAGTAAGTCAATAAGATATTGCGTTTTTCACCAGAGTAGACTAAGTTTATTGTTAAATTTATTTCATAGAACTATAAACGTGTAGCTGAGGTATGGATGGACGAATACAAACAATATTTGTACGAGCATGGCCAGGGAATATATGAAAATATTGATGCTGGAGATCTTACCGAGCAAAAGGCTATACGTGAAAAACTTCACTGCAAATCGTTTAAATGGTTCATGGAAAACGTTGCATTTGATTTGACAAAAGTATATCCACCCGTTGAACCGGCTGACTATGCTTACGGAGCCATACAAAATGTAGGTACGCCTACTTTGTGCGTTGATACTCTTGGAAAGCCTCGACATTCAGACATTGGATTATACCCATGTCACGAAGACTTAAAACGACCGCAGCGTAATCAAAATTGGGCACTTAGTTGGCACAGGGATCTGCGCTTACGTCGAAAACTCGACTGCTTAGATGTACAACAGACACACAAAAATGCCCCCGTTTGGCTTTGGGATTGCCATGGCCAAGGTGGCAATCAATTCTGGTCTTACGACAGAGAGCACAAATGGCTGGTGCATGGACGAAATCACGGCAGTAACAAACGGTGTCTGGAAGCCTCACCTAAAGATAGAAAGCTTTATGTTAATATCTGTGACGAAGATAACCTCTACATGCAATGGAACTTTGGAGTTGTCAATAACACAGCTTTAGACAGCTTTTGGGAAGATATTCCAAGCTCGCTGTAGGTATTGAATGTACTGGTTAAGAGTACCATGTATTCTGTACTTAAGAGCTCAACTGTGTGTCACAGATTCCTCAAAATAAGACTAGTAGAAGATATATCTTTACCATACATCTAAATGATTTCAAACGCACAATGTAAACTTCGTAACTAGTGTAACACGAGCCACGTTCTAATGCCAAGTATTTACTTTTACATTTCCAAGATTGCCAATTTATTTTTTTCTAATTTTAAGTCTTTTGGAACATTTCACTGCATTATCTAATATATGTAAGGAAATATGCCGTGTGCAATTAGTTAATCGTATTGTTATATATTATACAAGAAAAGTCTCAATAAAGCAATAGAATTTACAACTCATTATATTAGTCTAATTCATGAGATAATCATTTACTCTATGAGACACATTACTCTTTCGTGTCACTCGAAATCGATATGAATAATGTTTCACTATAGCATCGGTGTACGTGTATAGTTTGTGGCAATTTCACCAATCGAAAGTCAAATGCCAAATTCTTCTTAAAATATCTTTTCAGTTAAAAATTCAATGTGTTTATTTTATAAAAGAAACGTTTTTTTATCTTTAAAATGCCTTTGTATGGACAAATGTAAAAGGATGCGAAGCCTGACACTGGAAGTCGGTTTGAAATAGGTGTCTTCGAGGCCTATTTAATATGGTAAAACAAGAGGCGAATTTAGCCTGCTTTTGCAGTCAAAAGTATTTGGCCAGGAGGCGATCAATATAGAAGAACAAATATAAAATGTCGTCAGACCTAACAATCGGATTGAAAATGTCACTGTTCTGTTTCAGAGAATTGCGATATTTAGGGTTTATAATCGGGAGCGGTAGCCTGAAAACAGATCCAGAAAAATCAGTGCAATATTTTCTCGGCACCGCTGGTCGGTACAGGCGATTCATCAAATATTTTTTTACATTATCTTACGTTCATTAATGCATCAGGTGAATCTGTGAATGATATTTGCGCAGTGTCCCAAGAGATCCTAAATCTTGTCGACGAATTTTTAGTGAAAGACGAAACGTGGTCGGATCACCTGCCAATAAGATTGCGAATAAAAATAACAGCAGAATGTACGGACCATAAACGTTTAAATTTGTTGCCCAAATTAGTATGGAATAAAAACAGTATAGATAGCTATCGCACAAATCTTAATAGAAATCTTAAAAAATCCTTAAGTAGATCTAATGACCTGACTTTGGAGGAACTTGGAATCACAATAAGCTGTCGACCGTAACTAAATCGAACAAAATAGCATTATTAACACCAAAAAATCCTTGGTACAATTCCAAGTGTCATCAAGCACGAAAGAAAATGTTTGCGCTACTAAAAAATTACAACAGGAATAATACAGTGGAATCCAGAAGAAATTTTTTAGACTCCGTAAAGGTATACAAAGAGATCTGCAAAAACAACAAACAGGAACATAATAGAAATATAATGCACACAATAAATAAGGTCAGGGGGGACACAAAGCAATGGTGGAAAACAGTGAAAAAATGAGGAACCAAACATTCCAAACAATCTCATTGATATCTTCAGATACATTAAAGCACAGCAAATAAGCTACGCGCCGTTTCTTTATACCGATCCCAGTACTTGACAGAGAAATTAGTTTGGCAGAACTTGAAAGAGGCTTGAAGAAACCGAAGATGAACAAAGCACCGGGGGAGGACAGAATTCCGTACGAACATATTGTCTACGCCACAGAGGATTTCTGTAAACAACTCGTCAACAGATATAAGATTTTAAATACAGGAATGATAGATAATACATTTATCAAAACTGTAATATTCCCTATTCATAAAAAGGAGATATGGCCGAGCCTTCCAATTAGAGAGGAATTGCTTTCATGAACTGTCTGGCTAAGCTAATGATGGGAAAAATGATGATAGAACAAGTAAAAAAGCTGTAAGTTCGGCCAGGCCGAACTTTGAATACCCTCCACCATTTGGTACGAATTCAACAATTTTCAAAAAAAAAAAAAAAAAAAATAAAAGGATTTTAAAATTCTGTTAAAATCGTGTAGCCGTATATTAGAGTCTATATGGCGACATGGACCTGCATAGGCAACTTTTTTCACAAGGCAACTTATATCACAATATTCAAATGCGAAACTTGAAAAAAATCTGTTTATAATGTAGCTAAAATCGTCGAATATAGGGAGGTACCATGGTGGTTATAAAACGTGGATCTGCACACAAAATTTTTTGTCATAGGCTGTTATATCGAACTTCACGAACTTCAAATGCGAAATTTGAAACAATTCCGATAAATAATGTCGCTAAAATCATGAAAATACCGAAGATCGGTGGTACCGTTATATGGGGGCTATACGAAAGCGTAGTCCTGCACAGACAAATTTCTGTGATAGGCTGTAGCATCCATTACGAACTTTAAATACTAAATTTGAAATAGTTCCGGTAAATAATGTCGCTAAAATCATCAAAATACTGAATATTGGGGGGTACCGTTATATGGGGGCTATACGAAGACGTAGACCTACATGGCTTATTTTCTGTCTTAGGATGTAGTATCCATTACGAACTTCAAATACCAAAATTGAAACAATTCCGGTAAATAATGTAGCTAAAATCATCAAAATACCGAATATCGGGAGGTACAGTTATATGGGAGCTATCCGAAGACGTGGACCTATATGGCCCATTTTCAATACCAAAAGTCCTGCAGACATAGTACACATTTGAGTAAAATTTTATCAACATACTTCATTTCGTTCGGAAGCTAGAGTGATTTCCACAGACGGACAGACGGATAGACGGACAGACGGACGGACATTGATAAATCGACATAGAATTTTATGCTGATCAAGAATATATATACTTTGTGGGGTCTAAAATGTATATTTCGAGGTGTTACAAACGGAATGACAAACGTAATATACCCTCCATACTATGGTGGAGGGTATAAAAATATCGTATACTTACGGCATATCAGGCCGGGTCAACTGTAGATAATGTGTACTATCTGGCTTCAATTGTCAGTCTAAAGCTTAATGAGGGTAAGAAGGTATATGCCTATTTTGTGGACTTCAAAGCAGCCTTTGACAACGTGTATCGAAAATCCCTAATATATCAACTCTCACAGCTTGGCATATCATACAAATTCCTGAAACTTATTGAGAATATATACAGCAATACTGAGTATGCCACTTGGACAGAAGACGAACTATCAGATTATTTTGAAACTAACTCCGGAGTTAAGCAAAGATGCCTTTTATCACCTATTCTTTTCTCACTATACATTGACGACTTGCATGAACAGTTACAAGATGGAATAATATCCAAAATATAAATACAAGATTGCTTTTATATGAAGACGACATTTTTATACTGGCAGACGAAAAAAACACTTTATAGTATATGATTTCAAATCTTGAAAACTATTGTAAAATGTGGAATCTAAAAGCAAACATGTCCAAATCAGAAATCCTTGTATTCAGAAAAGGAGGAAGGCTCAGCAGAGATGATAAATGGGCATACAACGGAAACGAAATAAATATCGTAAATTAATATAAATATTTAGGCGTTATATTTACACTAAAACTGTCATTTTCGAAACATGTAGAAAAGAGAACAAACCAATCAATAATGGCTATAAATTCAACTTGGAAAAACTTTTTGGGAAAGAAAGATGTAAACATACGGATGAAGTGGAATGTGTACCAAGCAGTTTGTAGGCAATACAAACATACGCGGCCCAAGCTTGGGGCTTCTCACACTTTGATGCGATCGATAAACTTCAGCGCTATTTTTTAAAGAAAATACTTAATGTTGCTAGTTGTACACCAAATTACTCCCTCATGCTGGAAACATCGATTGAAAACACTCAATATGCATTTACAGTACCTCTACCAAATAATGTACAAGTACAATGATCATCGACTACCGAAAAAAACTTACCAATCTACTTCTTCAGAATGAAGGGTTTTGGGTAGCAGAAATAAAAAGCTTGACGCAACGCCTTAATGTTGTATCGCCAAATGTCTCAAATGAATTTGGATGAAAATTGTTCACCACTAACATTATTAACAACCAAAAAATGAATGCCTTTCAAGAAAATATGAGTTCAAAACTTTCAAGCCAAAGTAGAATATATAAATATTAAGATTTTACGGGGAAGAAAATTATTTTTAAAGCAAGATGTGGACTGATTTATCTAAATGGAACTAGGTTCAGCGCAAATAGTAAAGAAAGAAAGTTTAGCTTGTGCAACGCTTAACCGTCTCAGAACTTTTTATTACTGGCCCAATATGATATCGCAAGTAAGGCAGTACGTCAGGAATTGTGATATTTGCAAATAAACCAAATCCTCAAACCAGCACATGAACCCTACCATCGGCAGTGAAGTGATCACAGAAAGACCGTTCCGTACGTGGATTTTCTTGGAAAATGTCCGAGGTCAAAAAAGGGAAATTCGTACGTTTTTATTAGGTGTGTCTGGTTACTTTTCCAGCAGGAATTGTCCAGCAACTTCTTTTTGAGAGAGTAAGGTAGTTTTATTCTCTTTTGCAAGGAAAATACGAAAAGTAAACAGACGCTATTCCTGCAGAAGCTTGCAACTAATCAGCTGATTCGTCAAAACAAACCAATTTGTCCCCCATAAGGAGAATTAAAACAAAGGAAGCAATACTAATTTTACAAGTATTTTAAATAAAAATGTTGGAAATAGTCGTTTATTTTCTTATTGCATATTAACATTTACGTTTTTCACATTTTGTAAAGTTGTTCTCCAATTCCAAAAAAATATTTTCAAATTGAAAGCACAAAAAGAAATAAACAAACAATAGAAAACATCTGATTGAATGTCGATTAATTAGAAGAAGAAGAGTTGCAAGTGATTAGGTGTGTCTGGTTACCCTAAAATTTGTAACAATTGTTACAAATTGTTACTGGAAGTCGTCTGTTAACCCGAAAGTTCTGCAAAAGAGAGCGGTTGGAGAGAGAAATTTTGACAGTTCTTTCAGTGAGAGTTTGCAAATTCTTGCTGGAAAAATTTCTTCTTGCAATCTCTTGCAACTCTTCTTCTTCTCATTCATCGACATTCAATCAGATGTTTTCTATTGTTTATTTATTTCTTTTTGTGATTTTAATTTGAAAATATTGTTTTGGAATTAGCAAGACTGATTGTTTTTGGAGAACAACTTTACAAAATGTGAAAAACGTAAATGTTAATATGTAATAAGAAAATAAAAGACTATTTCCAACATTTTTATTTAAAAAACTTGTAAAATTAGTATTGGTTCCTTTGTTTTAATTCTCCTTATGGGGGACAAATTGGTTTGTTTTGACAAATCAGCTGATTAGTTGCAAGCTTCTGCAGGAATAGCGTCTGTTTACTTTTCGCATTTTCCTTGCAAAAGAGAATAAAACTACCTTACTCTCTCAGAAAGAAGTTGCTGGACAATTCCTGCTGGAAAAGTAACCAGACACACCTATTGCAAGAAGAAATTTTTCCAGCAAGAATTTGCAAACTCTCACTGAAAGAACTGTCAAAATTTCTCTCTCCAACCGCTCTCTTTTGCAGAACTTTTGGGTTAACAGACGACTTCCAGTAACAATTTGTAACAATTGTTACAAACTTTAGGGTAACCAGACACACCTATTGTCCTTTACCACTTCACAAAGATTACATGCGATGAAGGAAGCAACTTACCAAAACGTTATCCGATTTCAAGAAGAGCAGGTATTTCACACCTTGATAACGGAAAACAATTCACATCAAAGGCATTTGAGCAAATGATTGAAAATTATAAAATACAACATCTGACAACAGCATTTTATTCCCCTCAGTCAAACGCGTCTGAGCGAGTAAACCAATCGGTGTTCGCAGCTGTCCGAACATACGTCGAAAATTACCATCGAGACTGGAATTTATATTTATCCAAAATTGAGCAAGCCCTTCGTACATCCGTGCATTCATCGACTGGTGTAAATCCATTTTTTGAACTATTTGGTATCATATGTTTACCAGTGGGTCAGATTATAAACTAGCCAAAAAGTTAAAATCACTGGCTGACCACCAAATTTAATCTCTAAGGAAGAACGACAGACTAAAACTAATGCGGGAGAAAATTAAGAGTAACATGCACAAGGCATTTAAAAAAAGTGCAAAATGCTACAACCAAAGAGCAAGTAAAATCAATTGTTTACATGGCCAAGAAGTCTATAGGCCTAACCACATGCTACCAGATTTTAAAAATAACATAAATGCCAATATATATATATATATATATATATATATATATATATATATATATATATATATATATATATATATATATATATATTTGTGAAAACTCGCTTTATTAATAACTTTCTTTAACATCCGAGTTTAAAAACAAAAGATAGATAATCTCTTTTTTGGACTCATGTGCTAGCACACGGGTACCAAGTAGAAAACTCACTCACACACTACTCTATTATACAACGAATTATAAAATGATCTCCAGCCAAAAAATAAACCAATAGTACCAATAAACCAATAAATAAACCAACCAATAAAAACCAATAGGATTCTCAAATGGAAGTTTTTCATAAACCAAAATACCCAACATTCTATGACAGCTTAGAAAACTAATGTGATTACTGTTTAATTTAGAATTGCATTAAATATTGATTTTTATCGACCCCTGGTTTGGTTCTTAATTGTTCGTTAAAATGTACGCGCTATGGTTTATTGCAACCTTGTGCTAGAGCCATTGACATTTTACCGAGTAATTATTTGTCACTTGTTTTGCCGCCTCCTTTAGACATCAAGTAGTATTTATTAATATAAAGTAGTATAGCATTAATATTTGAATCATTAAAACGGAGAAACACATCGTCCGCATATAAGAGAGTAGTGCAATTCACCCCACAACAGCACTCAGAGACGCTATTCACATACAAAATGAAAAACAAAGGGTCTAATACAAGGCCCTCCGTGGTATTTTTTCATTATGGTATTCATTTCTTTGCGCCTCAATTACAGAAACATATGAGAACTTGATCTGTGAACTTAACCAGGCTACTGACAAAATACAGATCCCTCAGATCTCCTTCAAAGTCAAAATTTCACCCAAATAGAAATTAACAATAGGTGTGTACTTACAGAGAACTGTACATATAAGTTCTTCATATATTCGGTATTTTGATGGTCGTATCACACTTTTCACTGGAATTGTTTCGAATGTGGTTTTTGAAATTCATAATGGGCACTTCTCCACATCTTCGTTAAGCCCAGGTCCACATCTATATAACAGGTCTTTTGCTGATTTTAGCTACACTTTAGGACATAATTATTTGAAATTTGGTATTTGGAGTTCGTAAAGATGCATGGCTGTCTTCATATCCTACACCACACTGTGGCAAAAACCTAAAATTGTAAAGACTAGACAAAATGCATTTTGAGGAAATGGTTTGTGTCTACAAACCATTCTTCTTCTCATTCATCGACATTCAATCAGATGTTTTCTATTGTTTGTTTATTTCTTTTTGTGCTTTCAATTTGAAAATATTTTTTTGGAATTAGCAAGACTAATAGTTTTTGGGGAACAACTTTACAAAATGTGAAAAACGTAAATGTTAATATGCAATAAGAAAATAAACGACTATTTCCAACATTTTTATTTAAAAAACTTGTAAAATTAGTATTGCTTCCTTTGTTTTAATTCTCCTTATGGGGGACAAATTGGTTTGTTTTGACAAATCAGCTGATTAGTTGCAAGCTTCTGCAGGAATACCGTCTGTTTACTTTTCGCATTTTCCTTGCAAAAGAGAATAAAACTATCTTTTCTCTCAGAAAGAAGTTGCTGGACAATTCCTGCTGGAAAAGTAACCAGACACACCTATTGCAAGAAGAATTTTGTCCAGCAAGAATTTGCAAACTCTCACTGAAAGAACTGTCAAAATTTCTCTCTCGAAGCACTCTCTTTTGCAGAACTTTTGGGTAAACAGACGACTTCCAGTAACAATTGTTACAAATTTTAGGGTAACCAGACACACCTAATATTGGTAACTATATTGTTATGATATCATAACAACAGATGTATTTTCACAGGGTTGCCATATTTTGACTTAGTTCGATTTTGGCCCCAGGCTCCTTTGTTCATTTCCAGATAAGCCAGCCAGATAAGCGCTTTATGTATTCCCATCTTTATACTTCTATGTCTTACGTGGTACGGGGTATTAGGTGTGTCTGATTACTTTTCCTGCAGAAATTGTCCTGCAACATCTTTCTGAGAGAGTAAGGTAGTTCTATTCTCTTTTGCAAGGAAAATGTGAAAAGTAAACAGACGGTATTCCTGCAAAAGCTTGCAACTAATCAGCTGATCAAAACAAACCAATTTGTCCCTTTTTATAAGAATAAAAAGAAAGGAAGCACCACCAATTTTACAAATTTTTTAAATAAAAAGGAAATTAGCAATAAAAAAAATATGAGCAATAAAAGAAAGAAAGATTTGATGTGTTCCCTGGAATGGCGTTTGTATAAAAATTTTGGAAATACTCTTTAATTTTCCTATTACATATTAATATTTACGTTTTTCACATTTTCTAAAGTTGTTCTCCAAAAGCAATTAGTCTTGCTAATTCCAAAAAAAATATTTGCAAATTGAAAGCATAAAAAGAAATAAACAAACAATAGAAAACTGATTCTGATTTAATGTCGATAAATGAGAAGAAGAAGAAATTTGTCCAGCAAGAATTTGCAAACTCTCACTGAAAGAACTGTTAAAATTTCTCTCTCCAACCGCTCGTTACCGTGATACTGGTAGCGTAGCCCAACGTGGACGGAACGAAACCCGCGTCGCAGTGGCTCGTGCGCTGAACATGTCGCAATATTCAATTCGACAAATATTGAAAAATGAGCTCGGGATAAATCCATTAAAATTCCAAAAGTGCAAGAACTGACACCGCAACAGAAAGAAAAAAGACTCAAAAGAGCTAAAGAGTTGCCATTAATGTACCAACATTGAACTGAGTCAACCTAAAACTCCTTTGTTCTTTGACGAAAAACCAACCAACCAACCCAATGGTGGAATACCCTTCACTATCTCGGCCGAACTTAGCCGCTTCTTACTTGGTTTCCTATCATAACAAGTTTGATGATTTCGATCGAAACTACTCGATATCGAATTACAGAATCTGCTTCCAGCATTGTCATTACCATTATTTTGTAAATAATTTGATTTCTTCTCATTAGGAATTGTGATAATTTTGGTAATCCAAATCAAATACCAATTTCCAAAAACAAAACTAAAATAATGTTTGAAAGTGTCAAGAAAGTATCTGTGTGAGATACGCCAACAGAATGTAATCGCCCTAAAAGACATAGAAATTTGTCTAGATTTTGCAACAAACAGCTACAGAATACAGATTTCGTGTATTTGACATTAATAAAATAAAACATTTGCTACGTAAAGCAAAGTATTGGTCTGTTCCAGAACAGCAAGAATTTAAAAGTTTTTACTAGGATAACCGATTTTCCCTTTATGATATCGAAGAAAATTGTAAAACCATTAGATTCTTGCAGGCACTGTAACAGAGCATATGGTTTGGTATGCCAAAGTTTTGTGGTCGAATGGAAAAAATATATTTTTACCAAAGGAAACTGTAAGAGATTAAAAGTTTCTATCATCAGTTAAAAAATGCAAAAATCATTCGTTTTTTGGTGCGTTTAGAATATGTCCCAGGTCTTTACTAATTATCAACTATAAGTCCGATCAAAACAAAGTATTAGTGTATTTATTTGTTTTTTTTTTTTATTAATTTTTATTATCCATATGTTAAATAAATATAATTTATGTTTTTTTCTCATTATGTGGTAATTTGTCTTTCATTCAAATGTTTTACAATTAAATTATGTCACATTTTAATATTTCTTTTGCGTCTATAGCAATGTTCATCACTATTTCTTATTTGTTTCTTTTTTTTCACAATTTTTTTTTCTTTTGTATTTAAATTTATCATCATATTATTTGTTGTTTTTTTTTTTGGAGGGGGATGGATTCCTCATTATGTGTTTATATAGCAAATATTTCTGTGTGAAGTCGTTTATATGTATGTACGTATAGTATGATTTTGGTATGGTGTTGTCGGACAAAAAGAAAACTATGAGTAATAAAAATAAAACAACAAAGTCCATTTTTAATAAAAATTAAAATTTATTTGTATCATTTTCTTGTTGATTTTCTTCTTTTTTTGTTTTGTTTTTGTGGGCATCTCTTAAGTATAATAAAAATATGTGTGTATGTGTTGCTAATAATGTTATATATAATTTTAACGCATTTAATTAGAAATCAATAATAAAAATAATGGTAAAAATAAATTATAAATAGTTGAAATTTAATGATTTCATTTATTTTACTATAGCTAAAGTAAAAAGAACCATGTTGTAACTTAAAAGTATGAGAGAATAAAAGGGGGCAATGAGTAACGAACAAAGAGAAAGAATAAAAAAGTATATATTATGTTCGTATGTAGATTATTGCTAAATGGTTAAGCAATGTACAAAAACATAAAAAAATCTTAATAAAAATTGTATTCTTTAAAAAAAAACTAGACATAGCTGATACTTTTAAAATGAAATTATTTAGAAAATGCTCAAAGGGGATTTTAAAACTATTTTGATTTGTCGTTATTTATATGAGTAAAATAAAAATGAAATATTTCTATAAAAGTTTTTTTTTTGTTTTCTTTTCTTTTGTGAAGCAATCTAAACATAAGTATATGTATAAGGATATAACTTAATTATATTTTATTTGTTTGCTTTTATGTAAATTTTAATCGCTTTGTTCTTTTATTATGAAATGGATGGCAGAATTTATTTTTGTTTGTTTGTTTATTTTTATTTCATTTTCATTTTATGAGTGTTTGTGTGAGTGATTTCAGTAATTCATTTAATTAAAATAAAAAAAAGAAAATATTACAAAACACGGGATTACGATTTTTTGCTTGTTTTTATTTTGCATTTTTAATACTTGCATGGTTTTGAGTCTTTTGTCAATTCAGTATCATTTCTTTTTTTTATTCAAACAAAATAAACATAATGCGACTAACATATGTGTGTATATATATGTATGTATACCTTGCATATTTACATACACAAAAAATAAGTTATCTCTTCTAGATCGGTTTTAGTTGAAACAAAAATATATATATTTATTACAAGTATTTGCGCTTGTTGTCGGTACATACTTGTCTGGCTTTTGTCTGATTCTGGATGTGCCTTAATCTGATTTTCCATTAGAGCATATGTGTTTCTTAAAATAAATGTATGTATATATACGTAATAAAGTATTGTATTTATGTATGTATGCTGCAATGCATGGGCATGCATCATTGTATGTAATTATTTCTCTTCTCCTCTGTTTTGTTGTTTTACTCTTTTTTATAACTTGTGTCTTCCATCATGTATAATGTTGATGTTTTTTTATATGTATTTAGTATAAATTAAAAATAATTATAATAATATAAAAATAATAATTAAATGTCTTAAATGGTTTGTTTGTTTTGCATGATACTCTTCTTATCTTTTGTTTTGTATTCACTAATGTATATTCCTTAAAAACTATAAAAAGTGTCTCCTTCATTCACTTCATACATAAATGGTTTCTTTGTTTGCTGTGCCTAAATGTCTTTGTCTTTTGTTTTTTTTTTTTTTCTTTCAACACGTTATGTTCTTTTATTTCACCGTCTTTGTGTTTTCAATTAGTTGCGATATATTTATGTATAAATATTTGTTCAAATGTATCCATGTTCATATTCAATATGAGTTTTAAATTGGGTTTGTTCTTTTAATTTCATTCAGTATTACTAAAAGGATATTTCGTGTATAATTTTCAAAAAATTAATTGATTTTTACACGCATTTTTTACAATAACAAAGTATTATGCCTTATTTAGGTTGATTTCTGTCAAGTGATTTGCGAACATATAAAGGAAAAAATATATTCGAATAAAGAAAAAAGGAATGAAAAACCTATCAGACCTTAATCCACAACAAAAGCATTACTTGATTTTTTTTTAAATAAGATTCAAGTGACATAGCCTTGAACGTATACTCAGTGTACTCAAATATTGTATGTATATTTTAAATACAACTTCAAAAAATGAGGTTATGTGTTCTTAATAAATTATTATTTAATACATTATTTAGGGAATTTAGAATTTAACAAGACATGAAGAAAATTCCATTCAAATAGAAATGATTGTAGTTTTTGTTGCAAAATGTTATCTTTGGATGTAATAAATGTATATATTTCGATCATAGCCTGAGTTTTTGAAGTTGAGGTACACATGTTGAGATTCATTCCTGGACATATGTCACTTTTTGATTACAACATAAAAGAGCCGAGATAAATTTTTGCAGTTTTGGGGACTAAAAAGTTTCGGTTGTTTTGTTATTATTATTTCCATTAAAATAAAGATTGTTAACAAAGAATAATTTCTAATCCAAGTAAGATTTCTAAAAAAACTTTCTGGAGAGCTATTGATTGACTACCAAATTGGCAATATGTATGTCAAGTCTGGAATTCGCAAAGGAAGAATTTTATCAGAGTTCCTACTAACTTTGTTTCGTTCGTGCGAACAAAGACTGGACAAATATCGCTTGTGATTTGATGAGCCCTCATATTTTCTATCGAGAATTCCACAAAATTTCAAATTTAATATTTTTGGTTTGTTTTTTGTTTGCATTTGTGTTGAATTTGTTTTATATTAATTTCATTTTTGTACTTTTGGCAAAGATCTTTTTTTCTAACAGTATTTCTATATTTATTTCGCTTTGTTTTTTCTTTGTTAGTGTGAGCTTATTATGTTTTTATTATTATTTTTTTTTGGATCTGTTTTGTAAATCACTCTTATGTTTTGTAATCTCGATTTCAGAAATGTTTAGGTGTTCTTCTATTTCGTGTTATAAATTACAAAAAATATGTAACTTTGTTTGTATGTTTAAATGTATGTGTGTGTAGTTTCAATTTAATAGTTAAGCATTTAGTTGATAAAGCGTTAGAATGCATCAAAATCTATTAGTGTGAGATGAGATTATAGTTGGTATGGAATCGGAATATGTGTTGAATGAATGCTTTTAGTTTTCGTTTTAGTTCAACAACCCTCTGCGGTTTGTAAATAACGAAAAAATATTTATCGGTTCAATTTTCAATAATACAAAAATAAATTCAGTTAAAATCCACAAAACATATCACCATCTTTCGCAACAAACTATACGACCTGTAAGGCGAATAACACAAAATAATAATAAAATATGGCACAAAATCTTAAGAAGAATATTTATGAACAAGTCAGTCGTCAGTGGGTCATAATATGGATGCTTTGTACAAAACAAAAGCTCAGAAATCACTTTCAGCTGTTATGGGAAGATAGGAGGTCTAGACTGATCCATATTTCAGCTTTTTCTTTGATCGAAAAAAATTCACAATTGTGCTTGGAACCACAGGATACCAAACCAGATTTAGTTTAGGTCTGCATCGGTTGCGGCTGCGGTTGTTGTTCATTCAGTGCCGGCTGCTGCTGTGATTGTGGTTGCTGCTGCTGTTGCTGAACGGTCGTGGACGTTGGACTACTGTTGCCCTCCTGATATGGCCCTGTAACTACACATGGGTGCATAGGGAACAGGGTTGTCCACGAAGTTGTTGTTAGTGTGGGTGCTCGGAGGGCAACTTTCTCGTTTTTTGGATCGGTATTGTTGCTGTTGTTTTGGGCATTCTTTTTGGAGGATGATTCCTTCTTTTTCTTGCCGCCGGATGATCCACTGGCAGATTTTGTGCTTGCGGCAGTCTGACTGCTTTCCTTCTTGACTGAACTCGCCTTGCTTGTATTACTCGGTGTTGTCGTCACGTCAGGCGGTTTATCCTCTTCTCCATCCTCTTCTTCTTCGTTTTCTCCCATTTGCTCTTTCTTAATTTTTTCCTTTTCTTCTTTGGCCTTGTTATCCAAATCCGTGTTAATTTTCTTGACACGCATCTTTTCCTCCCACTCATCTATTCCATGATGATGGCGATTCAGGTTACGATGTTGATAGAAAATAAGCGTCATACGCGTCGGCTCGTGACGATTGGGGTTCTTTAAAGCGGTCGTGGAATGCATTTCGTGTTTGGCACATTCAATCATAACACTGCCATGATTGAGAGCAATAGCAACACCTCCCATCTGCGGATCTTGGAATGCCTCAAGATTTTCACTGAAATCCGAAATTTCTCCAATGGGCTCAATTTTGTTGGACGTACTACTACTTGTGGTTGAGGCTGGGTTGGATGTTTCATTGGCTGCTGATACTGGGGATGGAGTCGTTGCCGAATTGGTATTTTCTCCTGGGTTTGAAACTGGGGTCGTTAACGCAGTAGCCGTTGAGTTGTTCGTATTACTCATGTCTGGCGATGTAAGACTCGAATTAGGATTGGCTACCTGCGTGTCCTCAGATGGCATGTTTGTTGCACCCGTTGCTTGGTTGAGATCCGTTATTGGTGTACTTTGAGTAGTGTTGTTCAAAGTTGTGCCAGAGCCGCAGAGAGATGGGTTGTTGTTGTTGTTGTGGTTTGGCACAGGCGGTAAGCTTCCATCATTTGACGACTTCATATTGGCGTTTGGAGCAACGCCACTTCCATTGGGTAAAGTTGTGTGGCCAGCAGGAAGCGATGACGAGGATGAATTCATTGCAGGAGCAGCTACAGACGTCTGGTGTATTGGTCCTGTAGCTGATGGCGGCAGGGGAGTTGCAGAATATGGTGTCGCCGTTGCCGTTGATGATCCTTGGTGATGTCCGTACATATTCCAATTGGGAGAAGGTGGCGGCGGCGTTGGCGGTGGCGTTTGCTGAGGATACATGCCATACGGTGAGTATGCCTGATGATAGCCGTAGTTGTAGTTCATGTTCTGATAGGCATCATAGGCAGAATACGCCGAATGTGGTGGTGGATACATTTGATAGTTGTTTGGATACTGGGAATACTGCGAGTAGTCAGTCGGCGGCTTTGGCTTTACAAATCCTTCTTCAAGTGGAGGTGCATGCGAATGAGGAGGAGGTGGTGGAGGAGCGTGATGAGAGTGATGTTGAGTTGTTAGATTAGTCATTGGTGCCATAGGAGTAAGAGTGGTTAACTTACTTTCTGTTGTCAAGCTATTATTTACCAATGTCGTTGAGTCTGGATTCTCTTCGCTGCCTCGACTCTTCACTTCTCCACGAACGTCGTGCACCTGCGTCAACTGATGACTACCAGCTGTGGGCAATTGATTATAACAACTGGTATTATAACCATTCGAATCCAGCTGTGTAGCAGCAGGAGCAAGTTGTGAGGCAGTTTGATGGCCGGTAGCATTTGGCGTTGTTGGCATGGGACTTGGGTTTGGATTGTTGGCGGCAGGGGCAGTTGCTCCACCGGGTACACTGCTTCCTCCCATGGTTGTTACGTTGTGGGCTGTGGTGGCATGGGGATTGTGCGGATGGGACGGTGGTGGCCAATTTCCGTAGTAGTTCCGAGAGTCGATATAGGATCCCGTCTGATAATCGTACGAATAGGGGGAGTCCAAAACCGTGCTCGAAATTTGATTCGATTGTAGCTGGGCATCTGTGAAGGTATCAATCATGGTCGCCATATTCATTAAACTTGAATTAGACGACATAAGTTGATTGGTATTACCTCCGGCGCTGGAACAGCCACTACTGGAGCCCGAATTGGAATGATTGTTACCGGTGTTGTTGTTGTTGTTGTTTTGGTTGTTGCTAACGGGAGGTGTTGAGAATGCACTACCAGCTGGACTGGGATTATTGGTCACAGGTGTTTGACACCGCGGAGACGGTGTTGTTGGAGGCGGAGCTGGTGTTGTGGCGGAGGACTGTTGATTTTTACCTTTCGATTTTGATTTCGAAGTCGATGCACTTCCAGTGTTGGTGCTGGTATTTGTGCTGCTGCCATTGGGCTCCTTTTTAACTGCACTAGTGGCTGTTGTAGAATTTTGAGCGCTCGCGGCATTGCCATCATTTGTAGCAGTCGGCGCAGGTGTTGCTGCATTTGACTCTCCTTCTATGGCAGCCGGTTCGTCCTCTTTGCGCTTCTTCCCGTGCCTGCGACAAGGTATAAGGGGAGTTGATCTCACTCGAACTTCGCATGGAAATCTGAAATATAGAATAAATCAATGAATTTCAATATGTAATCCCGCAGAATAATTTCCAAATTGAAACCAATATGAAATGTCAACACTACACTCACTTGTCCAACACTTGAACAGCACCGGTGCGATGCTTGTCCCTTTGACCTTCGGCGCTTTCATACTCGTCCGTTGCATCCATGGTGTACAGGGGTAGGACGTGGAGTTGTTCATCGTCGGGGTTGTTTATGTCACGATTGCAGGGTTTCAAAAGTGCGACTTGAACGGTGCAGCCATCTTGCATGTTGTGCAGATCCCGATGCGCATGGGCACAAAAGTCCAAGCATGCACTTACTCCCGAGAATGGTTTTCCCTCTTTATTACCGAGGCGACAGTCTTGAGCTTCTTTCTCGTAGCGAGTTTGATTGTCATAGGAACGTGGACACAATTGTTTGAACAACGGGGCCAAAATGGTCGCCAACATGTTCATGTGCTCTTCAATGGCCGCCTCTTCGCTCTTAACTGAGAGACGGAATTTTCGTACGGTTTTCGATCGAGCATATTTGCAGCCGTTATAGTACATCGACCATGAACACCCGAAGCTGTATGAAGCTCCCGAGGTTTCTGGATCTAAACCTAAATAAATGAGAGGTAAACGATAAATTACACGGTGTCGGAGATACTCTCATCGTTGTGGAACTTACCTTGACAGGCGCAAGTTCGATTTTCGTTTGTCGCACATCGACGTGTCGTCGGCAATCCGAACTTGTTGAGTTTCGGTATCAGATTCGTATACGCATTGTCTGCATCCTGACGGGGCATACCATCCCATACTACCATACACACCACTATGAATGCTGCTATACATCTGCAGAGGAATATTAAAGAAGTAAATAAATGTATCTGAAGTGATGATGATGTTGATGACGACAAGGAGGAGGAAGACGCTTACCTATGGCCCGGCCGTTTCTTGACAACTACCAGGATTTTCTCCTCGGGATCGGCCCGCCTTATGATCCATTTTGCCAGAGGACAACCTGTCGATGTTTTGCCCTCCTTGCCAGTGTATAAGATCTTTTCGATGCGCAGTTGACGCCCCGAAACCTGGCAACGTTCCTCAAATTCTCTACGTAAATCGGCTAAATTTGAAGCTGTACCTGTATTACCAAATGAGAACTCATTGAAATAGATGCGTTTATTGGATGACATTCGGACATCTTACCTAGATGAGTGTAGTATGTTCCGGGCTCGGGAGGACTCTTGTCCGATTGGAAACAGTCACATTCGGGCACCTCAGTCTTGTTACCCTTCTCCAGACGGTCTGATGTATCGAACATGGGATTGATCTTTTCATGCTTTACCGTTACTTCGTTGGTCTCCTCTTGCTTTATGGCCTTCTTCTTTGGTTTTGCACCATTTTGATTAGCTGGCTGGGCTTCTTCCTCGTCCAGAATTTCGTCTTTGGTTTGCATACCAATACATGAACCATCTTTTAGGTGTTCAGCGGTGGGAGCACGAGTTCCACCTTGGCGACAGCACGAGAATCCAGTGCTGTTTTTGATGGCTGCTGGGCCCCCCTCACCGTGGAACACATAACCGGATCCTCCCGGTCCATACGCACCCAGGTCTTCCACCTTAGGTTCAAGTAATCCCGAGCTCAGGTGTGGATGAGTAGTGGATCCATGGCCTAGGGGATAACGATGAGGTGGAATGGGATAAGCATGGGCTGGTATATCCTTTTCGTAGTTAGTTGGCAAGGGAATAATGCTACTGGTTTCCGGCTTGCGATCAATGTCCATCATGTGGCTGCTGTGATGGTGCAGACTACTGGGGTGGTGTTTTGCAAGTGGACCATTTAACGCCTTCGAGTGACCCGATGAAGATAAAGCATTTGTGTGTGGATGCATTCCATGGGCATTTCCAAACGGCGACGCTGAATGTTGGTAATTGGGCACAAAGTTTTGTTGGTAACTCTGCTGGAAAGTCGTTGACGAGCCATAGTAGGAGGAATTGTGATGATATCCAGCTGCATATTCTTGTTGATTTTGATGGTGTGGTGGTGGGGCTGGTTGCGCACCACCGGCCCCAGGTTGGCCCTGTACCTCGTTTTGACAAAAGTCGGCGTACTGAACGAAGTTTTGATAGTTGCGTTCGTAGCCTTCTATCTTACTGTGCTGTCCAGGGATAAGTCCAGGCTCGGTTTTGATGTAAGGGGCGTGATGATAATCTGGATGTTGGGGTGGATATTGCGAGGAGGGTGGTGGAGGGTACGACACACCTTTCTCCATTTTTATGTTTGCAAGATGAGCCAGATGATGGCCACCGCCCGGATCATTGCTGTTCTTATCAATATCTGAATTATCAGCACTACTGGCGTTGGCCGATGCCGTGTTGTTAGCTGCAGACGACGAGGACGATGACGAGCGATTGCTGCGACTACGACGACTTGACTTTTTTGGTGGATCAGGATTGTGAGCTGTTGTGGTGTGGTGCTGTGGCGGAGTTTGTGCTAAGGATTGCTGGTTGAGTTGATGATGATGATGCTCGGCAGTTGGAAAACCAGAGGCCACAGGTTTCTTAAAGGAATTCGTGTGGTGTGGCTTCCAAATGTGATCGCCACCACCTCCGATTGGTTCCGGAGCTAAGGATGCACCTCCACTAGCTAAGCCAGAATTCAGAGGAGTCTGATTTTGCTGTGGTGTTTGTGGCTGTTGGCCCGTAGATGCATTACTCCCATTCGAACCATTGGCATTCATTGCTGAATCGCCTCGGAGATGGTGGCTATACGATAAAAAATGACCGGTCTGTTGCTGTTGTTGGCTGCCATTTGGCCCACCGACACCCAGTGGCGGCGGAGGAACCCCAGGCATACCATGTATATCGGGAGGGGCTGAGAGTGGATCCTTGGGATCATTCTTGCGCATTATCATCGACTTGATGCGAGTATTCAAGTTGACGCGCTCTCCTCCTGGACCAGTTGTGGTCTGTTGATAGGGATCCGAAACTCCCTGCGACTGAGTGTTCCAATTCCAGTCTTGTTGCATGGGCTGGGGGTGCTGTGGTGGCGAAGCCATGTTATTTTGAGCCTGTGTTTGAGGTTGGCCACTTGGTATTGTTGAGCCGCCGTATTGCTGTTGAGTTCCTTGCGGCGTTGTTAGGTTTGCATTGGGCGATTGAACCACTTGATTTGGTGATTGTGAGACATGACGATTCTGCTGGTTCATGGCCTGTGTTTGGGACTGTTGCATGACACTGCGTGTAGGAGACTGTGGCACTGTTTGATTATTGGTTGTTTGCATGGGGGAAGCTGCCGGCTGTGATGTTGCCGTGTTATGAGCAATTGTCTGGTGACCACCATTTACACTGACCGATCCAGTTGCTGCCGAAGCGGCCGTACTCGTGTTACTGGAAGTCTGCTGTTGCTGCTGTTGTTGGGTTGCGCTGCCGCTATAGTCGCCTGAATATCCGTTACAGTTGAGTGAGCGCGGCGGCACGCTGCTCACTCGCGGATATCCAGGCGTGTCGTTTCCCGACATCGTCTTGTTGAGATCAGTAACACTGCCTAAATGTTGTTGCTGTTGTAAACTGGATGCCGTCGGCCCGGTCGAGACTTGACCGGCATAGGTAACCGACGAGGGCGCAAAGCCCACGCCCTGCAGACCGACCTGATTGATGGGCGCACTAGATAGCTGCTGACTCTGGAAATCATAACGCTGAACCGGAGCTCCATATGGTGAACGTCCGTAGTTGGGATCAAATCCTAAACCTGTCTGTACATATCCATTTGATGGATAACCGTATGATTGCGTCTGAAAATCCAACGATGTTATGCCGGGTGTATTCTGTGGTATTTGCTGGATGAATTGGTTTTGCCAACCCTGTGAGGGATCAGCTTGCCATGTGGGATAAAAGGCCATTGGTGCCTGAAAAAGGTTAACGAATGAAAATTAGAGAAACTTTCAACTGCAGTGTTTACAAATTATGCTTTGGAGCGGAGGAAACCAGTTTTGATAAAAGGAAAAACTAAATAAAAAATATTTATGTTTGAATGGTTCATCCCTTAAATATCGTGGAGGGGTTGCTTGGGTCGGGTTCGATTCATACATTTCACAATTAATTAAGTGTAATAAAATGCGCACACATGGGCAAATAAATTTGCCCAAATCCTTCGTTTCGGAGATCATTTTCGTCAGCCTATATTTCATTCCATTGTTTCGAAGATTTGGCAATAATTTTTAAAATGAAAAATTAAACCATATGCTTGTATCAAGTTCGACTCAATGTTGAGGAGAGGGTTTGTTTTGTATGTATCGTGTCTTTTTTTTCGGTTAAAAAAACAAATAAAGGTACACAGGGGGATTCTATTTGCAGGGAATAGTGTTGTGATAAGTTTTGGGTTAAATTATTTTCAAGCATATCAGTATGAAAGTAAAAGTGTTGGTTACGAAACTGTGGAACTTAACTATAAATTTAGACATGTTGATTCCCCGTTGCCTTACAATATAACTATCATTATATGTTATTTCATTCATGAAAATTCAGAAGTACGGCATATAAATGTTTATGTATTTACGCAGGTTATTGTTGTTGATAGGTTCGTTGCTTCTTTTTTTGTTATTTGCACCCGAACATAACGAATATGAATGAATTGTGTGTACGTCGTACACATGTGTTGAAAAGAACCGCCTGTTAGAATGCTGGGATTCCATGAAAGCAATGAAGGCAATACAACTACTAAATAAACATAGCTTTTTTCTGTAGTTCATAACGTCATAAATGACAACATCAGCAAAAGCGACCACAACTATAGTTTTAAAAAAATAAATTGTATTTATCAATGAATGAACGTAATATGAATATTTTTTATTATTCATGCTCAGCCATTAGGCAACCTGGCTGGCTACGCTGCTAGCAAATATTTGTAGATATAAATATTCGGCGTCCATGTACGATATAGTACAAGGCAAGTACATACGTACATGTGGAAATTTAATTTATTGCATACATTTTATTTTATTATTTATGCAAGCAATAAAAAGTGAAAGTGTTTCTTTCCATTCAAAACGAATAAAACGATATTGCGATGTGTTGTTTTAGTTTTTTTTTTTTTTTGATATTGAGAAAATATTTGATTTCCTTTGCGGGCATTGCAATTTTATATAAATGAAATAAAAAATCCATAAAAAATATGAAGTTAAATGGCAACTTTGATTCTCTAAAGATGGAAACATTTGTGCTTCGATAAATAGGAAAAAGGTAAATACTTTATCTTAAATTCTTCAAATCTACATTAAAATCCAATGGCATATACGATAGATAATAGAAAAATATTCGTATAATATTGTTTATGAGTTATGGATCAACAATTTATTTTATCAAATCTTATATTAAAATGTCTGGATTTTTTATACCCTCCACCATAGTATGGAAGATATATTTAGTTTGTTGTTCCGTTTGTAACACCACATTTACATTTTAGACCCCACAAAGTATATGTATTCATGATCAGCATGAAATTCTATGTCGATTTTGATATGTCCGTCCGTCTGTGGAAGTCACTTTAGCCTCCGAAAGAAATGAAGTAGATTGATAAAATTTCACTCAAATGGGTATTATGTCTGCAGGACTTTTGGTATTGAAAATGGGCCATGTAGATCCAGGTTTTGGTATAGCCCGCATATAACATAACATCCCGATATTCGGTATTTTGATGACTTTAGCGACATTATTCACAGGAATTGTTTCAAATTTGGTATTTGAAGTTCGTAATGGATACTACAGCCTATGACAGAAAATTGTCTGAGCATCTTCTTATAGCCGCAATATGACGATACCCCTGATATTCGGTATTTGGATGATTTTAGCGACATTATTCACCGGAATTGTTTCAAATTTGATATTTGAAGTTCGTAATGGATACTACAGCCTAAGACAGAAAATTGTCTGTGCAGGTCCACGTCTTCGTATAGCCCCCATATAACGATACCTCCCGATATTCGGCATTTTGATGATTTTAGCTTCATTATTAACGATTTTTTTAAGTTTCGCATTTAAATATTGTAATGGCTAATGACAAATGTTACCTAAGCAGGTCCATGTCATCGTATAAACCCTAATATAACAGCTACATTGGGTATTTTTAAGATTTTAACAGAGTTTTTAAATTGTATTGTTTTGAGAATTGCCAAATTCGTTCCAAATGGAGGAGGGTATTTAAATTTCGGACAGGCCGAACTTACAGCTTTTTTACTTGTTTAATTTTATAAAGTTGTAAAATAAACAGAAACAAGACATAACTATATGGTTGAATATTTGTTATTCACCAAGTTCATATGCATGATTACTTTATAATAAATATTATTCATAATTGAACTACATATCTCATTTTTTACATCTTTGTAATAAAACCAAACTCACTAAAACAGAAAAGTTCACATAAATTATCCATAAAACAACACGTGCTTGAAATTATGTACGCCATGGATATGTCATTTACATTTCCGGAATTTTTATTTCAACTAAATCTTTTTGCACAATAAATTCGAATCAATTCAATGGCAAAGGAGTGTGTATAAGGAATCTAAAACCTATATTAATAGATTAAAGGCATTTGATCGATTCGATATCTTGAAAATTTTTCGAGTCGTTGGGCTTCACACACATTGGTGGCAGGCATCACCAGGCATCGAGGGGAAGGTGGATTTAAAGTGCCATTAAGATTTATTTAACTGCCATTAACCACCATTTCTTGGAACGTACACATTATACGTGTACATACATATTTTAAGGGAGGATTTGTGCCAGAAATACCACCACCACCACCATCATCATGATAATCATCATTGTTCCAAAAAATATAATCACCTGACTTTAATTTATGTGTTTAATTTTCGCCAGGCTGTGTTTGAAAATCTGCCGCAGGGATTTTACTTCGTTTCTAATGAATGGAAAGTTGTGTGTGTGTGTGTGTTTTTTTTTGTTTATTGTATGTTTGTATTGATAATTCCTAACGGCATTAACAAATTTTGATAAGGATTTACATTTGAAATGTACTTTCAAATATATATTCTGGTAGAGAATAATAAGGCAGAATTGTTATGCAAATTTTATCGGAAAAAAGGAAATATCCTAATAATAAATCAAAATGGATTTGGTTCTACGATAATTCGGCCTCGGGTGGAAATCTGAACAGAATAATTGTGGTATAAGTAATCACTCACATATGGCAACATTTTATTTTTTGGATCAGCTGTTTTAAAATCAGCTCAACCATACTATGGACGGTATATTAACTTATTAACCCCTTGAAACACTCATGCTAGGGCCTACAAAGTTTATATGTATATTCTTGTTCAAGAGTAAAATACTAAGTCGATATCTTTCGAACGAATTGTGATAGAAGGCTAACGTTTTGCACAGATGTGTATTTTGTCAGTAGGCAGGTAAAGTTCGTAAATATCGTATAGCCCCCATATAACGATACATCTTGATATTCGGTATTTGGACCATAATTTATAACAGCATTTGTTTAAAATTCGGTATTTAGTGTTTGTAATGGGATCAATCTCCCGTGACAATAACTTGCCATGGAAAAAAACTTCTCTAGCAGGAAATGACCCATGTAATTTCTCGGTTGGGTTCAGTCCCATTAAAATATTAAATATAAAATCGACCGAACAGAATTGTATATATCCATTGAGCATTTTACATTACATTTAAATTATTAGTGTAAAATTATAAAATATTGACCATGGTCTATATAAGGTCGGCCAGTAAGACCATCTGACAACTAATGGTCTGTTCCAGAACTGCAAGAATGTAAAAGTTGTTACTACGATAACCGATTTCCCTTTATGTTATCGAAGATAATTGCAAAAATATTAGATTCTTGCAGGTACTGGTACAGAGTATAAGTTTGTCGCCAAATGATATATTGTGATTTGAAATTCAAACAGAGTCAAATCACAATAATTGAAAACCTAACAAGTTTATTGTTAAAAAAAAATATGGTCTGTTCCCGAACTGCAAGAATATTAAATTTTTAACTACGATAACCGAGGTTCCCTTTATGATATCGAATGATGAATTTCTGCAATATTTTTTTCCAGATTTTTCCGGATGTTTTTTACATTATCCTATATATATTTGACTTTGACTATTTATTATACATTTATAAACATCCACAATTTTGGGAACTCAGTAGCAGTTATATCTCACTGATAAGACACAGAGTGTAATTAAAGCCTTGCCTGAATACCGAGTATGGAAACATTTTGGAAGCTGCAGAATAGTAAACTTACCATTGGTTGCTGGGGTTGGTCCTTCATGGTTTGGATTTGTGCTGTAATTTGATGTTGTTGCGGTTGCAATTGATGTTGTTGTTGTTGCTGCTGCTGTTGATGATGCCCCAACGATTGTTGCTGATGCTGTTGTTGTCCACTGGTATTCTGTCCTAGCTGTTGGTGATGTTGTTGTTGTAATTGCTGTTGTGACAACTGCTGCTGTTGCTGTTGTTGTTGGCTATGTAAATTATTAAGGTGATGTTGTGACTGTTGTTGAGTATGTAGATGGCTTGATGACTGAGTGTGATGCTGTTGCAACTGTTGATTGCTCGACAGTTGATGTTGTTGCAAATGCTGTTGTTGCTGCTGCTGCTGTTGACTCGTTGTCGTCTGATGATGTAAACTATTCAGCTGCTGCTGCTGCTGTTGGTTCGTTGCTAGCAAATTGTTACTGCCCACAACACCCGTTGATGTATTGCCGGTTGCGTTGTTGTGGCTATTGGGATTTGTCGTATTTGTATTTGGCGAAGGATGCGATGCTACTACAGATCCTGTTGTGGCTGCACCAACTGGACTTATCGTTGAATTAGCAACAACCTGTCGTGGTGAGTGCGCAGTTGCTGTTGCAGTAGCGCCAGCATTTAGTTTTGCAGCTTTGGCAGAAGGTTTACGGCCACGGGCAGGAGTCTGGAAAAGGTCAAGAAAGAATGATAGACAAATGAATAAATAAATATCTACAATAAACCTTAATTAGAGACTTTGTGGCGAATAGGGGGGTAGGTAGTTTGGTTTACGTACATATCCATGTATGAACGTGTCTATATATCCACCACATAGAATTGAATAAGAATAATTGCGTTGAATACATTTAATTACATAAATTCAATTTAAATATTTTCATAATACTTGAAGTTGCGGCATTTCGATTTGTGCGCTCACGTTTTTCTCCATCTCATAATGCGGTCGTAGTTGAACATCACGTGTGTTCATCAGTTGGTTCGTGGTTTGTTTTTGATTCCAAAAAACTTAACTTTTACATATGGATTTAATTTTGAAAACTCGATATCATGCCTTCAATTAATTTCTAACAACAACAAAAAAATATTGTAGTTCTTTTTATATGTTTTTAATTAAAGTGAAACAGAGAGAGAGGGAGAGAGAGACAGAGAAAAAGAAATAAAGAAAAACCTACTAAAAATATGTTCAAATTGAACTCATAAATCAGCTCTGAGGATATTATGCATACAAAATAAAAAAGCCATAAATTTTAATTTTTTTTTCCTTCTTTCTTCCTCTTTCTTGTTTGCTGTTGTTTTTCTTGGCAATTTTATTAATAATGCATGTGCGCTCGCTGGCTCGTAAAGTGGAATGGGAGGAAAACAAGAGAATTCCTTAACCAAAACCATGCAATTTCCTCCTTGCCTGTATGTTGTGTGCGCGATGATGATTGCATGGGGGAGGAACAAGGGAAGAACAAGTAAAAATGGTGTTAAGTTGGGCCGAGTCGAATCGCAAATACCCTTCGGCTATGAAATACTCACTAAATTATATATTAACAAAAAAAAAAAAAAAAAACAGATTAATAATGAATGAATAAGAATCCACAATAATATGATGCGGTTTGTCAAAATTCCCCACATAGCCCATTTTATGTTTCAAAATCCTGCAAATGTTTGGAAGTAAGAGACTTATTTTTTAAGTAAAAACTATAGTAGGCAATTTACAATAACAATTATATTGATGTCGTCTTTTTATCAAAGTCGCTACTACGCGACTTCTACGAAGAAAAAAACGCAACATTTATAGTTTGTCAAAAACAATAGCTTTCAGTTCTTGTGATGTTCGCTTAGGCATAAAAAAAATTAAAAAATAAATTTAGCTGCGATTACACAATAAGAAAGAAGAAGAAGTCTGGTTAAAATCATGTTTACAATAGAAAATATACAAATATATGGTGTGTTCCAGAACTGCAAGAACGTAAAAGTTTTTACCACGATAACCGATTTTCCCTTTATGATATCGAAGAAAATTTCAAAACTAATAGATTCTTGCAGGTACTGGAACAGAGAAAATATACAACTTTCATCGCTTAGGTAACTTCCAGGAGTTGAATAGATTTGCGATAGTCACACTCTTATCAAGAATCGCTTTAAAGTAAAGTTTTCGTCACCCAGGCCATTGAAAATATTTGCAAAAATAAATACCACCTGGATTGAGAATTCAGTTTTCAATTTGTTGCAAACTAAAGGACAAATTTATTAGATCCTCCACAGAAATCAGTAGTGAAGGGCATAAAAATATAATTGAAAGGAAGTGAATGAAAAAAAAAATAAATTAAAAAGCTAAAGCCAATTAAAATAAAACAAGAAAAGACATTAAATTGGGAGTGATATAAGGATTTACTTTGAATACGCTCCACTCGCACTCTCTCTCTCACACACACACACTCAACGCAAATTGCAAAATGAGCAATGAACGGCGAACGACTTTGGGTATGGGGGCATCTAGCCTGCCTGTAGGTAGGTATGTGTGCAAACTTATTTTCAAACTTAAATATGCAGACATTTTCTTTTCGAAACAAAAGTGCAGCAGCTGTTGTTGTAAATGCGAACTTTATCCAACAAAAACACATTTAATTAATTTAAAGCAATTTAGCATCATAAATTTAAATTTCTGCACTATGTTTGGCTAATGAATTTGTGTAGATGTATGTATGTAATGCATACACACATTTGTACAGATTTCCATTATGCTATCCATGTACAAAATTCAGGACATTGAAAACAAAACAATAAAATGTTATTATCTTCTCCGAGTAAATAACAAACAATAGAAATATATGCTGTGTCAAAATGACAAATAAAATCCTGTTTTTTGAAGTTAGGGCAATTTAGTAAAAATGAATAAATTTTAAAAAGACATACAGACTACCATTTAATAAGAAAATAATTTTTTTAAATTCCAAAAAGTGCATGAACTTACACCGCAACAGAAAGAAAATAGGCTCAAAAGAGCTAAAGAGTTTCTCCGCTTGGCCGAAAGTTGTGGAACCGCCGAATTTGATTTTCTCCGATGAGAAAACATTCGTTGTCCAGCAGTTTGTAAACCAACTGATCGTGTTTAATTGCCAAAGAGGTCAGCTGAAAATTTGAATCTTCGGTTGGGCATCAGAACTCAAGCGCCGGCCATGGTGATGGTGTGGGCCGCCATAACAGCCGATGGTCGCTCTCCGCTCGTATTAATCGACCGTGGCATCAGAATAAATGCCGATTATTATCGCGAAAATATTCTGGAGTGTGTATTAAATTCTGGGCACGAAACAATTTGGCCACAGACCTTGGACCACAGCACCATCGTACACAGCACGCGCCACCCAAGAATGGTTACAAAATGAGCCTTAAATTCAGACGAACAGTAAACGTACTATTAATCTCTTTCCTTCGGATTTTCTAGCGTATATGAAATCAAATTTTTGAAGTAGGATAAAACTAAACTGTCAAATAATTGACATTCAAATCTTTTTTTCTTGGTTAAACCTAATAATTGATCAATGTTTTGACCAGATTATTAAAAAAAAAAAGAATAAATAATGCTGGAAAACCATGTATGTGACTCCTATTTACATTACTTCATTAAACTGCAAAGTTTATGCAAATTAGTTCCCCAGCTTCCTTAATTTTCTTTAAAATACATTTCTTAAATTTACATTTTTATTTAGTTCGGTTGTTTTGTGTTGCTTTGCCAAGTTTAAAACTTTTTGGTTATCTTATATTTTACAGAAATTGTTTACATGTCCTGCAGGCTCTGTTAGTACCTCCCAACAAAAAAAGAAACACAAACAGACTCACACAACAGTAAGGAAAATGCATTTCTCACTGCGGCGGGGTGGAAAAAACGTGAGGGGGAATGTATACTATAGCTCTCTTGGTCGTGTCACTGATAAAAATACAAAAAAAAAAGAAAAGAAAACTAAAACAAACACATTCGCACAAACAAATTACAAGGAAGACAGTAATGCTAAATACAACAAAGACAATGGTAACATGGACGAACGACAACGACGACAACAACGTCAGTAATAAAAAGAAAACATAACCACAACAAGGAAAACAACAGCAACAACTAAATAAATACAAATAAATTCTCATAAATGACAGCTGTCAGGCATAAATTGTACGAATACAAAATGCTTGTATGAACGTACAAACGACCGACCGACCGACCGACCGACCGACCAACCATCCAACCAACAAGCAAATAATAGTTACACCATTACCTCTGCAAGTACACATACACAAAAGTATGTAGGTATGTACTTTCCCATTGTACGGCATATGTATGCTCGATGACGAATACTTTTGCTTGTTACTGTGTGCTTCGTTCCTTCATTTCATTTGACATTAGTTAATGTCTGAAGATAGATATGTTTTACGATAAATTCATAAATCCTCTTGACACACACACACACACACACTAGCGCACACAATCACAATTTTGGGAAAATAAAGTAAATTTGTAGAAATTAAATGAAAACAAATATTTACTTATTCGAACTCTTTTCTTTCTAAGCAACAAGAAAACAATATTGATTAATATTTATCTAAGATATAGAAAATTTACGACATACCCAGGAATACTACCTCTAATTATAAACAAATAAAACAATGTATGCAGAGAAAATTAAATAAAAACAAAATTAATTTACAGAAAACATTTTATTGAAGATTTTTTGTTGGGTGGCAGGGATGGGGTGCTGCAACGAATATTTGTGGTTGTATATTTATAATGAGATATAGCATGTTTGGCAGTTTGATGTAGATTTACTGTAAATATACTAAAATCTATTTATTTAGGAACAGTGCTAAGTTATTTAGATACCGTACTCGTACGAATTCAAATGCCAGATTCTGATATAGTTCCTTAGAACATCAGCTAGAGCAGGCCGGTCGTTAACCATTTAGCAACATAACTCAGAAACTTTAAACTCGGTACGTCTTAGACCTCGAGAGATTAATTACGTGACATTAAAATCCCATGGATATTGCGAAATGTGACACATGATTGAGAAAAATGCTTTAAATTTAAATATGAGTCATGGCAGAAGAATACAGGTAGTTGCATCAACGCTTGGGAGCATTGATATGTCAAAAAAAATTAAATGTTTTTTCAAATGTAAGTAGATTATTATATGTTTTCTTATACTACGTCATTCGGAGCGTTTTTCAACAATTTTTACAAATTTTATTAATTTTTCATTCAACATTTTCAATTCCAAAATTGGTTTGACAGTTAATGGTCACAGCAGCTGTGTCGACGCGTCTACCTATATTCTTCTACCATGATATGAGTTAAAAACAGTGTTGCCATCGTGTAATATACAGTAAACACGGAGCATGGTAGAAGAATACAGTTAATCGCATTGACACAGCTGCTGGGACAATCCGATTTTGGAATTGATAATCTCCAATGAAAAATTATTGAAATTTGTAGAAATTGTGGGAAAATGTAAGTCATTACAGCTTTTGATTTGTGTCGTAGAAGAAAACATTTAAAAATCTACTTATTTTTGACAAAACACTTTAAAAGTTTTGACATATCAATGTTCCCAAGCGTTGATTCATCTACCTATATTCTTCTACCATAACTCGGAGGATGTATATATATTACACATTTGAGGAAAAATTACA